ATTTGTAATTAATCTATGAATGAAGCACAAAATTGTGTGGTACATAAGCGGGTGGTACTTAAAAGAATAAATTATATGTATTTAAAAAAACCGTGAGATGCAGTAAGACACAGGCAAATAACAGGGATTGGCACTTAAGCGAGGTGGTTCTTAACCGGGATTGACTGTAGTAATGTAAAGTGAAAGAAACATATGGGATTCAAAATGATTTCGCCCATTCTCCCAATGCAAGATAAGATTATTAGAATAATTTAATGCACCAAATTTGGTTTAAAAATGTAACTGTTTGGGCGAGGCAACAAATTATAGTTTTGTATATTAATTTGTGACGTAATAGTTGCCCTTAATAGTTTTTCGTTTAAGAGCATTTTGTGGTCATGGCAATGGTCCAATACCAGTCTTCCAACCAAGCAGTACCAATTTACTCAGCGTACCAAAAAACCAGTGTACCATAAATACTCAATAACTTGAGCTTGCACAACAGACGGGCGAATCGACAGTCACGAGGAAGTCAACGTCCACCGTTCCCACGACAGTCAGGTCTACGTAACCGGAACGGACACGAATTTTTATCCGGCCAAGGACTGTTAACTTGGCAGAATTTTGACGCGACAACAAAAACAGGAATTCAACACAAATAATGTGTCCCAGCGCCAAAAATTTATAACTTTTGGTCATTATATATATAATGCCTAATATAAGGACTTATTATATCGCTGAATATGTATTATATCTTAAGAAACTTAAGTGTACGTTATACGACCATTCTTTATACGGCATTTCGCAATAACGGCCCTCTTCAATAAAGGCACGTTTTCGATTTCAGCTTTGGCGATTTGAACGAACGTGATGAGCTTGATCTATTTGAAGCTGATAAGGAACCCCTCTTATATGAACCGGCATTTGATGAAGAGATAGATATATCAAAAAAGCTAACATCAAATTTGTCGAAAGCCTTTTCCGGTTTGGAACAAGAAATAAACCTCCTCCTTGAATACGATCCTTACATAAAACGTAGCTCTAAAGTTTTTCGAGAATTTAATTCAGCCATTAGCTGTTTGTTATAAATCATTGAAGAATGATATAGACAGGAAAGTAAGACAAACGACGTTGGGTAATTTTTTTTAAGCCAGTCCCATTCTTACCAGTGAAAAATGATGATCTGCAGGTTACCATTTTTTCAATGCACTTTGAATGATAAACCATGTTACATGTTTAACTAATTGAATTTGTATTGATAATGGATTCCTTATACGGCTTTTCGCTTTACGTCCAAGTTGCGTGTAACGTATCTAGGCCGTAAAGCGAGGTGGGCCCAAATAGTTTTAGCAGCTTTCGACCAGATATAAATAAATCTGAAAACTCCCCCGTGTGTGAAGATATTCATAATATTATATAATACATATGTATGGTATATTCAAATGTACATGGCAACATAAAAGAGGAATGAAAAACTTAGATTATTTCCGAATAATTTGTTTATTTAAAGCCAAACCGATAAACCAACCGCTGACATATATGCATTCATACATACAAATGTAAATATAGCTAAATAACTACAGAGCACAAAGCAAAAACTAAAATCAATTACCCAATATACAAGGTGCGTTCCAAAGTAAACAGTAAAAAAGTAACAGTAAACTCTAGTGGCGCCATCTATATTTCGACTAGTGCGTTAGAATCTGCTATCCTTTATCGACTTCCAGTAAAAATTTCATGACATTTTATCTATTGGAAGTGAAGTTATTGCGTTTTAAGTGTCAGTATGTTTTCGTCATCGGTGCGAAAATGAGCTTCGAACAAAGAGCCAACATTAAATTTTGTTTTAAAATTGGTAAAACTTCTACCGAAACGTTTCAATTGATGAAACAAGTTTATGGCGATGATTGCCCATGCCGTAGTAGAGTGCACGAGTGGTTTCAACGTTTTCAAAGTGGTCGTGAGGACATAAATGAGAAATGAGCCAAAACCCAAAAAATCGCGCCTGGAGAAGTCAAAAGGGAAGACAATGCTGATTTGTTTTTATGATTCCAAGGGTATTGTCCACAAAGAATTTGTTCCACCCGGCCAAAACGTTAATGCGGTATTCTACTTTGGAGTTTTGAATCGTTTGGTGGCCCGAATATCGCGAAGATGGAAGTTGGCGTTTGTTGCACGATAATGCGCCGTCTCATCTATCGACGCTTGTGGCCGATTATTTAACCAAAAATCACATTTTAACAATCAACCACTCCCCGTATTCACCTATTATGGCACCGTGCCACTTCTGCCTTTTCGGAAAAATGCATTTGCCGATGAAAGGAAGGACCGGCATACTGGCGGCTATACCGGGCAACGAGCTAAAACACTCGTTCGACATGCTTTTGGACCGTGCAAAAAGCTGTATTAAAGCAGAAGGAGACTGTTTTGAATAAAATTAAGTGATTTTGCCGATAAAACCATTTGTTCTGTATTTTTTCTAAAAGTTCTGTTTACTTTGGAACGCACCTTGTATATTACTGATACAGTGAAGTAGTAATCTTCTCCATTGCGTTATCAGCCGTAAATGCATGGTCTTGGAGTCGAATTTATTTTTATTTACTTGAGTAGGCAGATAAAAAGAAAATACAAAGTATATTTGAAAATCGATTCAAAATCATTCATATTCATATGAATGTAAAAACAAGATAAAACGTTGACTTCGGTAAAACGTTGACTTCGGAAGCTATAATACCCTTCACATATACAAAAGGGTTTCTTACAAGAACTTGTTTCCGATTGTTCAGTTTGAATGGTAGCTATTTATTTATTTATTATACATAAAAAATCAGTACAAAATATAGATACTTAGTTGAGGGTACTGGAAAAAAATACAAAAAAAAATTTATATATACTTATATGGTGCTGTGGTAGCAGTTACTGGTGGGGGAATCGCATAGAGTAAAATCTTAGATTATAAGAGTAAATGTTTCTTGGTATTATCGCTGAAAGCCGTGTATGGTTGTGAATGTCAAAACACCAGTGTTGCCAAACTAATATATTTTGTAAACGAAGAAAAATAAAATAAACAGAGAGATTGTACCCTAGATACAGGAAACAACGCAAAAACAATTTCTGCGCAAAAAAACATTGATACACCCCGGTGTTGGATCGACCAGGGTTATTTTTTTGAGGCGCAGCCGAAGGCCGTCAACGCAAAAAGAAGTTCTACAAGAAAAAGTAATATTGTCATGGAGGGTATAACATAAAACTTAACATCAATGCTTTGTAATAGTTTATTTCTTTAGGTTTTGGATTCCTGTATTTGGGGTTTTATCAGTTTTAATTTCTTTCAGTTCAATTACAAAAGATGTCGATAAGTTATTTTCTTGTAGAACTTCTTTTTGCGTTGGCGGCCTTCGGCCACGCTTCAAAAAAAATAACCCTGGTCGATCCAACACCGGGGTGTACCAAAGTTTTTACGCGCAGAAATTCTTTTTGCGTTGTTTCCTGTATCTAGGGTACAATCTCTCTGTTTATTTTATTTTTCTTCGTTTACAAAATATATTAGTATGGCAACACTGATGTTTTGACATTCACAACCATTTTCTTATTGTCAAAATTAATAAAATTGAAGAATGATTTAAATATTGAAATAAAGCTATTTTTGCAGCATCTAATATAAAAAAAATTTCTAAAAACGAATTAGTCAAATGATAAATATAAGTGTATAATTCATTTTAAATCGCAAAAATACGTACATTAAATAGTTGAAATTTTCAACTTTAAACGTAAATATCTCGAAAACTATAAGTTTCCCGCGGCTATATCTATATAAATTCTTGAACTGAAGGATCTCCTCTATCCGCCCATACCCATTTTATCCCCGAAAGCCTGGGACGTTATTCTAAAGCCGACCCAAAAAAAACTATATATTTCAGCATTTTAAAGTTTCTCTAAAGTATTTGAGAATTTATTTTTAATTTATATAGGGTATATTATATTTAGGAAATTTTGTAACACTTATTTGGCCGGTATTGTCCATTACGTAGTCGTATTTCTTACTATTGGTGCATTTGACTGCCACTGTGACGTCAGCGACTTACCTTGGCGATGCTCTCTTTCTCTCTTTTTTGCTGTTGGCAGAGCGCGCTGCTTCCTTTAACGTTCTAATTTCTTCACCTCGTTTTCACACAGCTCCTCCTGTATTTTCCTTTGTTTTTCCGTTCTTATTTAAATCCTTTAAATGTTAATGAAAACCGAAATTCATTATTCCTTCAAGTACTTACGGGGAGAGCTTTTATTGCTTCGATTTTTATCGCTCTTTTAGATGAAATTGGCACATTCACTACTACTATTTCATTCTGCACTATTCTCCAAATTGAAAATACAGTTCTGCCTACCTCTCTGCCTCAGTTCGCTTCATTCGATTTTTCATTTATTCGTGGCTTCTCCAAATCAACTGCTCACATTTATTTGCACTTTAAGATATCAATAAATCACCTCGGACGAATATATATTCCGCCTATAACTTCACATTATTATTTATAAATGCACATGATTATTAGCAATTACAATTTCTCAGCGCTTTAATTTAACATTAGGCTTTTCACTATACACTTCCACTTTTTCATTCTTTTTTTCCGATTTTTTTATTTTTCCTGGGAAAGCCATCTCGTTGAACGCTCAAATTTATACTGTCAGCGTTTCTTGATTGGATGGGCGATTTATTGCACCGCAACGTCGTTGACGCGGTCGTGTTGCTTTGCGCTGACTACAAATCGTTGTCTGTCACACAACAGGGTTGATAAAATACCTATAACTAATTAAATCTCATCTTATCTAATTAAAAACACAACTTAAACAAATAAAATAATAAACCTCGGTTTTGTCAACAAAAAAAGGTTTAACTAAAAAGTACAAAATTTTAAATTTTAGTTTGGGCATAAGTGCAATCATTTAAGCCACTTTTTTCAAGTTGAATAGTCCGGTTAATGCCAATGCGACTCTGTTTCGTTCTCTATATTTGCTATCATTCGTGCGTTCTTCTTCTTCGGCTTATATTTTGTGGTAGTTTTTTTGTTGTCTCCTCTGTGCTTTGTCGTACAAGTCGTGAAAATTATTATTTAAATTGATATATCTGCATCGGTAAATTTATTCAGGAGTTTTTGTGTATTGTAAAATGAATACTTTAGGTCCGAAAAAGGACGGAAGTCCTAATGTGGAGTTCTTTCAATCGCCAGAATCTCTACAAGGATTCGAAACAATCCGCCTATGGCTACAGAAAAATTGTAAAAAAGTAGGTACAACAACGCGAAAGTGATCAAAAATGGCGCTTGGTTGGCTCACGCGTAGGTATTGATTTAACTAAATTTATTAATTTTTGTTGTAGTATTTAGCAAATAATACTGAGACAATTACAAGAGAATCGTTGGCGCAGTTATTAGTACAATTCCTGCAATATGTGGAGGCGAAATTGGGTAAAAATGCACAGGAGCCACCGGCAACACGTATTCCGGTAAGTGGCTTGAATACAGGGTGGTCACCATCATTTACAACTAAAGATGTGTATATATGCGGTTCATGATTTCATTCATATCTTATAGATGCGATTATTTATGGATTTTAAACCAGGTGGTGGCCTATGTATCATCTTTAGTACAATGTTTCGATTTCGTGCTGAACAACGCGGCAAAAAATTTGATTTTTCTGTGGGAAAAAACCCACCACGCAAAGATCCAAACATACAATTACTTATTGATATCGAACAAGCACTCGTCGAGGCAAATCTTTACCGTATTCATTACATATACATACGACCGGAAATTAACAAAGAATTAGCTCAGAAGTTAAGAGATATCTTAAGTACCAGGCGCGTGGAGATTGTAACCGACGAAGAAGAAGCTACACACATTATATACCCAGTTGTTGATCCACATCCTGACGAATATGCACGCCCCCTTTTCAAACGTGGTAATCATGTAATGTTACATTGGTATTACTTCCCGGAATCTTACGACTCCTGGGCTATAAACTCATTTGATTTACCGGAATATGTACCAGAAAATCCTGAACTACCAGCAGAACAATGCTGGCTTGTCTCTGCATCTTGGATTTTAGACCTAGAACAATATAACGAATGGATGGCTGAAGAAGACTATGAAGTAGATGAAACGGGAAAAAAGAAAACACACAAACATCGTATGTCGGTTGATGATATAATGTCGTTGGGCACAGATGAGAAAAAACGAATGTCGGGTGGTAGTGGCGCAACTACCAAGCAAAAGCGGCGCCGCTCGCCTTCACCAAATACATCCAAGCCTGGCAAACGCAAACGCTCTCCTGCTGTATTACATAAGAAAGCGCGCAATGAAGAGGATGATGAAGATTTGACTCGCGATATGGATGATCCGCCGGCAGAGCCAAATGTGCAAGAGGTAGTGAAATCATCAACGCTACAATCAACTGCTAGTCCAGCACCGGGAGGAAAATCTCGTGCAGACAATGACATGATGCCGATTAAAGGTAACTTTATAACTTACAATATTAAATGAAATGTTAGATTCTCAGTATGAACAATTATACATAAATGTACGAAAATTTCAGGAGGAACCATGACCGATTTGGATGACGAAATGACAGGAGGAAGTGCAGTTCAGGCTCTATCCACGGGCGATGGTGAAAATTCCCAAACTGGCAAAACTAGTGATAACAGTAATACACAAGAGTTCTCTTCCTCTGCTAAAGAAGATATGGAGGACAACGTAACTGAGCAGACACACCACATCATAGTACCCTCATACTCTGCATGGTTTGATTACAACTCAATTCATGTGATTGAAAAGCGCGCCATGTCGGAATTTTTCAATGGCAAAAATAAATCGAAAACCCCTGAAATTTTTATGGCCTATCGTAATTTTATGATTGACACCTACAGGTATTAAAAAAAAATAATAATTTATGCATACGTCAAATAAATGTTATCTATTTAGATTAAATCCTACCGAGTACTTAACCAGCACTGCATGTCGCAGAAATCTTGCTGGGGACGTTTGCGCTATTATGCGTGTACATGCATTCCTAGAGCAATGGGGTCTCATAAACTATCAAATAGACGCAGAGCTACGACCAACTCCAATGGGACCACCGCCAACTTCTCATTTTCATATATTATCAGACACGCCCTCTGGTTTGCAATCTTTGAATCCACAAAAAACACAACAGCCATCAGCAGCAAAAGCTTTGCTTGATTTGGATAAGCCAAAAATAAACAAAGATGGTAAAGAAGTCTCAATAGAAGGAGATAAACCGGCGCTGTTGCCAGGTGGAATAAATATTAAAACTGAAGTTTTCGAGAATGGTAATAACACAGGCCAGCAATTCGGACTGAAACTAGATCAATATGCAAAGAAGCCTGCGGCAATGAAGAATCGTACAGCAGCGAGTATGACGCGTGAGTGGACAGATCAAGAAACATTGCTTTTGCTCGAAGGTCTCGAAATGCATAAAGATGATTGGAATAAAGTTTGTGAACATGTAGGAACGCGTACACAAGATGAATGCATACTACATTTTCTTCGACTACCTATTGAGGACCCTTACTTGGAGGATGATGGAGGATTTTTGGGTCCATTAGGTTGTCAACCCATACCATTTAGTAAATCTGGTAATCCAATTATGTCGACGGTGGCGTTTTTAGCTTCAGTAGTTGATCCTCGCGTAGCAGCAGCTGCTGCAAAGGCTGCCATGGAAGAATTCGCCGCCATAAAGGTATTCACATTAACAATCGTTTAAGTAACACATATTTATACCTATTATAATGTTTGCTTTTAGGACGAAGTACCCGCTACTATAATGGATAATCATATGAAAAACGTGGAGAAAGCGTCAGCTGGTGGAAAATTCAATCCATCTTTCGGACTATCCAACACCGGCATAGCCGGCACCGGGGCTGACAAAGAGGATGACGAGGCCCATACAGTAGGAACTGGGACTGCGACCATGCCAGTTAACACAGGTGCGGTAGATGAAGAAATGAAGGATGTTTCGAAAAAAGGTGACATACTTGTGGTTTTTGTTGTTTTTATACTATTTCATTTAATTTCTTCCAATAAATTGACATTTTACAAGTTTCTCTTCGATCTTACGGTAAAAAACATTTTTTTTCTTTCTATTTTTTCGGCTTTATGTTTACTCACCAATATCTGCATCACGCTCTACCCTTGTTTCTTATGATTTTTTCGTGTATATTCAAAATCTTGCATGATCTAAATATGAACTTTTCACGTTACAACATATTCAACAAAATTACAGACGACAATAAAACACATTCAAACGAGGCTAATAAGACAGAGAAGCAAAATAATGAAACAGAATCTGAACAGAAACCAGAAAATGATTCCAGAAGTACTATATACTACATATACAAAATTCTGCAAATATTCTACCCACAATTTCACTTTCGGTTTCCTTTATAGATGGTACAGAGAATAAAATTGAAGACACTAATGACACAGATACAACGTCAAAAGATCCTGATATCGTAAAGCAACAAATTTTCAACGAGGCTAACGTTCAAACCGCTGCAGCCGCAGCATTGGCTTCAGCAGCTGTAAAGGCCAAGCACTTAGCCGCCTTGGAAGAGCGCAAAATTAAATCGTTAGTCGCATTACTTGTGGAAACGCAAATGAAGAAATTAGAAATAAAACTACGACATTTTGAAGAGCTGGAAACAACAATGGAGCGCGAACGTGAGGGATTAGAGTATCAGCGCCAACAGCTTATAACCGAACGCCAACAATTTCATTTGGAACAATTGAAAGCTGCAGAATTTCGAGCACGTCAGCAAGCCCACCATCGCCTACAATTAGAACAGCAATGGCAAGGAACTACTGGCGTAAACGCCGCAGGCAATGGTTCACTTACTGGTAATTCTAATGCAACACTCGGTGGTGTCAGTAATGCACCGCCTACGCAAGGCCATCCAATAGTGAGTGGGGCCAGCAGCGTGGCCGCCGGTGGATCGCTTGCAACAAATGTTAGTAGTGTTGGGTCTCAAAACGCAACAGCTGCTGTTCAAGGTGGTAGCACTCAAACATCTATTGGCAACACCTCACAACCAGCTACGGCTGCACCGCTGACTTTACCTGCAACTATCGCTTCGTCTGCACAACAACAAGCGCCAACTCCAATGGGTTTGTGGAACAAATAACAAATATTCATTAGTAAATAAAACGTTAACCGATTTGAGTTTTTAATCAACAGATACTATCACAACTACTTCTATAATCCCTACAACTGGCGTAGAGGGAGCTACAATCACGGGCCAGACAATTTTGTCACCGCCAAGCGGGTCAACAAGCGTGCCATCTGCAAATGCACAACCAACTGGTCTCTCTCCAGCAGTACCACCATCATAAACTATACACAACACGACAGTTGGATTTACGTAACCGGAATGGACCCGGATTTTTATCCAGCCAAAGACTGTCAACCCGGCAGCATTCCTCAAAATTGCTTCAGGAATATTTTGCCGCTCCAACAACAACAACATACACAATTTTTTCCATGAATTTTCGATAACTATATAATCTTCATTAAGTTATTTCTTACAAATACTATATAACATTATGTTCAAATCGTAAATTTTTATGTTTTCTTATGATTTTTAATTTTAAATAATGTTGTATCAAGCATGCATTGTTTTCATTTAGAAATAATGAACTACAAAATTTAGGTGTAAAAAACATCGCACAATGCTTTGATAGGTATACATATAATTGCCCAGTAGCACGTAAATTTACTACTTAAAGGAGGGCTAATAATTGCAACTTCATTGGAATTTTGTGAAAATAAATAAAAATCACATATATAATTATCATAGTATTATGATATTGAATAATCCCAATAAAAGTCATATGCTCATCTTAATTTTATTTAAAATCTTTGCTACACTTCTTGATCTCAGAAACAATGATTATACCTTATACAGGGTACATATAATATTATTAAGTTTGCCTCTTAAGTTTGAAATACGCAGAAAGAAACGGCTAAGAGCCTATAAAATATATATATGTATAAATGATCAACGTGATGAGCTGAGTCGATTTAGCCATGTCGGTCCGTCTGTATATACGTGAATAAGTGTCTCAGTTTTGGAACTTTGCACACGTCTTTCTCCTCAGGAAGGTGCTTATTTGACAGAACCACCGATATCCGACGGCTATAGTAAATACCTGCCATTCGAGCTAAAGGATGATCATGTCCTTATAGTTTTTTGTTTGACGAAGTGTCTTCACAAAATTTGGCATTTTTGTTTAAGACAACGGTGCAATCTTCGAAAAAATTGTTCTGATCAGATCACTATAGCATGTAGCTGCCATCAAAATCAAGTTCTTGTATAGATACTTTTTTGTTGTTTTTGTATATTTGTATTTTTTAAAACTTTATTCAAACATACATCCGTCCAATTTTTGTAATTTCATACCAGAACTTGCTTCACGCCGCTTTTGCGCTATTTCTGAATATATTGGTTAATATTACCCCATCCAATTAAACCCATCAGTGATAGAACTGTTGAATACTCTAACGTTTAAAAGGTCAGTGATACCACTGGAACTAATGTATGTACATATATATGTAGAGCCCCAAAATTTTTCCCTTCACCTATTTAAAATAATTTCAAGAGTAACTGGTAATGAGGTCCTAATTAAGAGCGCCTTAATATAAACAAATATACTAAATAAATTATTTAATCTGAAGAAAATCATAAACACTACCAATTATCTCAAACGATAGTCTCAGGAGAGCAGCTCCATGAACACACATCGTAATGTATAATATATGAATGTATAAGTATGTACACATACGGTAATCAGCTCATATACATGTGTATAAATATATACTTATATCCGAATGAAAAGTTCGTGCTTCTACTTTGAACCGGTCGCCGATTGTGGTCATGTATTTGTTCTGTACAGTCGCATTTTTCGCCGCATAGCTAACTACTGTTCATTCACGACCATCACTTCATTTTACGTTTTCACTTGAAAAGGGCTCGCCGTAATTAATTTCTAAATAGCTGTAATCGTGAAATCATCTAATATACCTCTCTACTGAAATATGTCAGCGACTGAAGGCAGAGTATGTAAATAATTGTGATATTCGCTGCAATGTAGACACCTGCATAATTATGTACATAAATTCATTTTAGAGAATACCATATGTTTTTAGCATGCATACATGGTTATGTATAAAGATTGTACATACATATGTATGTATATAAATATATATGAGTTATAATATAAATTTGATAATTTCAAGGTTATCACTTGCAAAGCTGCTATTGCTTGGGAAGCTAAAAAACCGCTTGTCATTGAAGATGTGGAGGTAGCGCCACCCAAATCGCATGAAGTGCGAATTAAGATCATTGCTTCCGGAGTATGTCACACCGACGCGTACACTTTAGGTGGATTTGACCCAGAGGGAGGTTAGTAGAGTATTAATAATTATTTATTAACTCGACGACTTTTAAATTTCAATTGTAACATCAACTATTTTCAAATAACTACTAAAATAAGCTTTTCCTACTTCCATTTAGTGTTTCCGGTTATACTCGGGCATGAGGGTGCTGGCATTGTAGAGAGCGTTGGTGAAGGAGTTACTGCATTCAAGGCGGGCGATCATGTTATTCCGCTTTACATTCCACAGTGTAATGAATGTAAGTTCTGTCAAAGCAACAAAACAAATCTCTGCCAGAAGATACGTATTACACAAGGACAAGGCTTGTTACCAGACGGAACATCGCGTTTCACATGTAAGGGAATGAAGGTATTTCACTTCATGGGCACCTCAACGTTCTCACAATACACAGTGGTCGCAGATATTTCGCTTTGCAAGGTGTGTGAAAAAATTTTACCAAAATTCGATCCAATACTAATTTAATATACCAATAATTAGGTGGACAAAGAGGCACCACTTGATAAGATTGGACTTCTGGGTTGCGGTATTCCTACAGGCTATGGTGCAGCTATTAACACTGCCAAAGTGGAACCAGGTAGCATTTGTGGAATATGGGGTCTAGGCGCTGTTGGGCTAGCAACTGCTATGGGATGCCGAAAAGCTGGTGCTTCTAAAATTTATGGCATCGATATTAACCCCGATAAATTCGAAATTGCCAAAAGATTCGGTGTAACGGACTTTATCAATCCCAAAGATGTGGCCGATAAAGGACCAATACAAAATTATATAATAGACCTTTTGGATGGTGGTTTTGATTACACTTTTGAATGCATTGGAAACGTAAACACCATGCGTGCTGCATTGGAGGCGACTCACAAAGGATGGGGTACATCTGTTATTATTGGCGTTGCAGCTGCTGGTCAAGAAATCAGTACGCGTCCATTTCAATTGGTTGTTGGTCGGACATGGAAGGGTACAGCTTTTGGCGGTTGGAAAAGTGTTTCAGATGTGCCAAAATTAGTACAGGAATATTTGAGTAAAGAACTGTTGGTCGATGAATTTATCACGCACACTATGAACTTGGAAGCCATCAACGAAGCGTTTGATTTGATGCATGCCGGAAAAAGCATCCGCGCAATTGTAAAATTGTAGAAACATTAATGGAAAATTTTTAATAAAGCAGAAATAACTATATTATTTTACTTTTATGTTTAGATACATAGTATTTCTTACCACCTTTTAAATTACCAACTAAAGGACCAGAAACTTTACAAATTGTTTCACGAAAAATCTTTAAAAAAATTATCGTACCCTCGTTTTCCTACCATAATAAATAAATAATAATATCCAATAGTGGTCCGATCTGAACAATTTCTGTGAAGGGTGTTTCTGACTTTTCCTTCTGAGTGTTACAAACGTCTTGGTTAACTTAATATACCCTGTTCAGGGTGTTAAAATATTACTGAACTAATATGTAAAAAAATTAATATTAGAAGAAACAGAATACAATTTTGATAAGACTTACTGTGCGTATATATATATATATATATATATATACATACATGTTTACAAATATATTTATATATCAATAACTTCATCTTACAACTATTTAAAATAATATAAAGCCAAATTCAACATCAGTCCAAATGCTATATTATATTCTTCATAATTAATGCAATAAGCTTCAATGGCTGCAGGGGCTTAAAATGCTTCTTGCATTCTACGCTGGTGCACTTGCTGTCCCTCATTGCTTCTTTGTGGTTTACTACCTAGCAGTTCTTCTTTGCTGCTACTCCGACTGTCACTGCTACCGCCTATCTCATCTATTTCCGAGGCGTTGGATTTGTCATCCAGAAAGCTCAAATCCTCATCATCCCTAAAGCCGCTCTTTGACTTAATCGCCTTACTAGCTTTGCCTTGTAAAGTTTCAGTTATGCGCCCGTATTTTTTACGCAAATTATGCAGCCAAGTTGTATCAGACCAATGATACCAACTGAGTAGGAATATCACCAAAATGAAGAACAAATTGGTACTTATTGCTGTTAAAGAATTTAAATAGGTAAATTATGCGAGCACATCAAATTTAATTCAAAAAATATATCTTACCAATTACAGCTGACAGTATTGGCCAATTGTACATTATATATCTCAGTCCGGTAAAATCTGCGACTATATGCAGTGAAACTGAGTAAAATTGAATTTTTTGTGATTGAATTTCTACGTAGACGTCAGTAATTGGGTGTTGTCGCTCTTCTAAATAATTCGCAAATACTTCTACAGGCACACGTTGAAATTCTTCTTTTAAGCCGAGCACATACAATGGACTGAGTGCCCATGTACTAATTGTACGGATAAGTGGTGAGCGGTAACGCATCATAGCTGAGCGACAGGATTGGCCACGTAGTAGAGCATTGGTGTCGCGCATTTCGCCGCAAACCATAAACATACCTAATTCTAAATTCTGCGGTGATTCTGGCATTTCAATCTGCACAACTACTCGATATGCTTGGCCTACCATCAATAGTTGTTGCTTCTTTGTAAGCGAAACATGTGCGTGTGGAAATGTACATGGGGTCGTAGAATCCAAGCACGATCTGATAAATATTAAAATAACTTCAACTTTATGATTGGTAATAATGTTCACTTACTTGAACTGCATGTGAACTGGTCTTGTATGTGATATAGCCGGCATATACGTATAATAGAAGGTAACATACATGAATACTGCTATCCAAATTATTAATACCACCGCAAATGCAATTAAGCCCAAACGTAGAACCAATTCTTTCATTGTGCCAACCTTTTCATCAGCTCTGCTCTTAATACCATCGTATACATTGTATCCCAACTTGAGTGCCGGACGTATAAATAAACGGCGCCCCAAACCCGAAGGATCAAGGAGGAAAACAATGAATCGCAATATAAAATTCATTTCGTATATAAATGGTTCTAGTGTGAAACTATTATTTCTTGTTGAGTATAGATCCGTATGTAAACTATACGCACTACGCTGATGTACAAACTAAATCGAGCTCAGTTGTATTCAATACGTATGTACATACATATATGAATTTTTCTTTCTTTTTGTTTTATGTAAGCGCAACTTGTTTGTGGTAGATTAGATTTTGGTAAGTTTAATTGTTTCGATTATCAACTTTGTTTTACTTTATCAGTTAGTGAGGACATGGTACAATTGACATCTTTCACTTTGCAGCTCTCCTTTGCCCAGTCTTAAATGCAATGCTTATACACTTTAGAATTATGACTCAATTTGTTCGATATCTCAGTACATCCATTTCAACGGTCGTTAACAAATTTCGATATGGTATATTAACGATTGTATGTATGAATGGTAATTAACTATATTATAATATAATTTTATTTGGTTCTGTTAATAAAAAAGAAAATCATTAGAAGAGGGGAAATCTAGAGCGAAACTAATATTATTTTGTTTATCCCTGACTTTGTTGTTAAGTGTTTGGGTCATTTTTTACTAATGAATATAATAGTAATTAAATTGAAAATCAATTTCAAATTTTTACCCTATCGTTTAGGTTCGATCCAATATGTTCCTTCCAATTCTTTTTTAATTTCCACGATAAACATATGTATATATATGTGTTGTTGTTTAGTGTTCTCATACAGGATTGAAAAATAAAATTGTTCAGATACTTAAATAGGTATATTTCCAAACTCTTCACACTTTGAGCTATTATCTTTTTCAGCTCCTTTGTATAAATATATGGGTTTTTTCATATTATAAACAACAACAGATTATTAACCTACCTATATTTCTAACATCACATTATACATACGTCTGTACTAAATTAAATGGTAAATATATTTTTTTACTGTTTTTATTTTATTATATATGCGCGAACTAAACGAGCAAAAAAATGTTTCAAAATTACGATATACATTTTTTGACCAGATTTTTTAGGATTTAAGATTATACAATGAATCTTTCTATTGGTAGATTTTAATAAAATATCCTCAATCTCTCTGGTAAAATAAAATGCTTATTAAAAATTAAATATCGTGATCACCCTATGCCAGAAATTAATTTTTAATAAAAAGCGCCTCCGTCTTTACTTGTCAAAGCGATTTGATTGAGATAAGGATTTCATTTCGGAAACATAAAGAAATTAAAGTTTTCACATATGGTTTAATAAATATAAATTTTTTTATAGAAATATACGTCCGTATTTTTTTAAGTTTTAGGCATATAAAACGTTTGTCATGAAATTACGAGTACAGAAAAGAGGACGGAAGCGAAGTGTATAAGATATGTTGCTAAAGAAAAAGTGTAAAAAATATGTGTCCGGGTTTAATTTAGATATAAGCACCACAAATATTTTGTCACAAGTTTGAACAAACTTAAAGTAAAAAAATAAATATTAATAAGGAAGGAGAGAAATTGATTAAGGCATCTGAGACTATTTGGACAAGTGGCTCACAACAAAACCAACACCAGCGTTGCTTTAAAGTTTTGAGACAAAAATAATCCATTGTAGCTATGAGTAATTATCGTCACCATGGAGGAGGCGGTGGCTATAGTGGAATCGAAATCCGAAACATGCATCCACGAATCTCTCAAAATTTCACTTACGTTAGTTCATGTGTTAAATATCTAATCTTCATGCTAAATTTCATATTCTGGCTTTCGGGAGGATTATTGCTGGGTATCGGTCTTTATGCTTTTATGGACAAATGGGAAGCTACTGGATGGGTTCGTCTTGAAACATTTTACGATGTAGTACTTAACATCTCTTTAGTAATGATGCTGACTGGAATACTTATTTCTGTAGTCAGTTTTGCTGGTTGCCTTGGTGCGCTGCGTGAAAATACATGTTTACTAAAATTCTATACTATGTGCTTACTAATGTTTTTTCTTTTGGAATTGGCCATTGCCATAATGGGATTTGTTTTTCCACATAATATGAATTCTTTCCTGGAAGACAAATTCACTGATAAAATTATACATTCGTATCGTGATGACCCAGATTTACAAAATCTTATCGATTTTGCACAACTTGAATTTAAATGCTGTGGATTAAGCAACTCTGGATATCAAGACTGGAGTAAGTGTTATTTTCTTTCTTAAAACAAGTTTTTTTATTTCCACATTGTTCGACATTAATTTCAATACATTTTTGTTTAGGCAAGAATGAGTATTTCAACTGCTCATCACCATCAGTTGAGCGTTGCGGCGTTCCATATAGTTGTTGTATTAACGCAACTGACATCAGTTCGGGTTTGGTTAACATTATGTGCGGTTATGGCGTTCAAGAACACTCCGTTGCGGCAGCCAGCAAACGTATTTGGACTAGTGGTTGTATTGAGATTGTTCGTGTTTGGGCAGAACGAAACTTATATACTATAGCAGGCATTGCTCTAGGAGTTGCTCTAATACAACTTTTTATCATATATTTAGCTAAAACTCTAGAAGGGCAAATAGATCTGCAGAAATCGCGTTGGAATGCGTGAGTTCTTTTAATGTGAAAAAATATATTGAGTGCGTTTGGTAGGTATATTTCCATATCGTAAACATGTAAACTTTCCATTTTTATTGGTATGTTAGTTATTTAAACAAATAGTGTTTATAATTTTTATATAAATTTTGAATAGAGAGTATATAAGACAGTATGTTGCTCTTTTCGCTCAAAAGTATATTGATAATATTGAATTTAAAACGCATTTAATACATTTTTTTTACAATAAATCACCATCGAGTGAAATAGTTTTTATCGTACAAATCGTGTTCAGGGGTATTTGTACGTTATGATGACACGTTGGTGCTGCATTTAGCATTTCCAGCATTTTCTTAGTCTAGTACTAAAAATAGATTGCCACAAAAAATACTTCTTCTAACTTTGATTTTAATCTTATTTTTTATTATTCTCGAATGTATGCAATAATATTTGTAAGTAATTTTGACTACTATATCTATGTATTACTGCAAATTGCAAAAACACTCCTATGTTTATGTGTTCATTATAATCATTGCATATTAAATTATATTTATAATATACAAATACCTTTTATAATTTGGCACACACTAATAGAAATATACAGATATCGATATAAAGAATCTCAAAATTAATTAAATCATTAGATCATCTTCGAAATTTTTAGTGGGCCCTGATTACAAAAACAGTTCGATTGATAGAAATTCATAATTTCAAATACGTTTGAACGACATTTGATTTAATTGAAATAAATCTAACTCAGAATTTTAGCAAAGGGACCCCCAAAAATTCGGTTGATTAAGAAAAATAATTTGCTTACAAGCAAGCATAGTTTTTTTTTAACTGTGTAGCATAGTTTAACAAAAGTGTCAGTAAATTTTTATATGTAATATAATCGTTTTATATAAATTTAGTATATTCTTTAAATTTATATATACCAAATAATTCAAAGCAATGCTTTAATGATATAGAGTTTGTCTTTATGCAATAAAAATTATAAACCTATCATTTTGTTTTAATGCGATTATAAAGCGAATAAGCACATATTTAGTTTTTAAGTTACTTATTAAAAACAAATTTGCATTATTCTTTATTCCAAAGTTAGTTCAATAAATGTACATACATGTTCAAGTCATCAATACTTATCGACTCCTTTTCAGTCTTTTTTCTGACTTCTTGGAGTAATTTCTTACGCTTAGCGATCAGCATTTTAGACTTTTTTGACCGCTCAGCTAAATCATTCTCCAACTGCAATATTTCACTTATTCTTTTTCGTAGTAGCAAATCAAGTTGATGCAGCAATGACACCATTGTTTCAGTAGTAACACATTGCGACAGAGGTTGTAGTATTTTATCAAGCGATTTAGAGAAAAACCCCAAAATACTAGCTTTCTTTATAGTAAAGTTGTCACATTCCTCCAGGAATAAGGTGTTTTCTTCCCAGCGATGCTTTGCTGAATTGGGTATCTCTAGTCTTCTTCCCATTCGTTGCAAAATTTCTTCTGACACTCGCTCATTATCTGGCCTTGCACTATTTCGACCTAATGCCAATTTTAAATCACACTCTAAGTAAATTTGTGCATAAGCACACTTGTTCTGCCTGCACAATTGATACAATTTATATCTCATACTACGATAGTAATTATTATCATCACATAGAATTATGAAATCGTGGCAATTTGCATTTTCAGATAACTTTACAGATTTAATGATATCTTTTGCTATATAGGCGTTTTCATTTAATTCACATATAAGCAAGTTTATAGTTTCCAAGATTTTGCTACGTTGTAATTTTAATTCTATTTCTGCATTAAGAGTATGTTCTTGTGCTGGCAGAAAATCGTCATAACAAAGATGAATGACGTTGAACTGTTGTTGAGGGATCGACAAGATCCAACTACTAAATGTACTTTTTCCAGCAGCTGGTAAACCAATTAAGGCTACGAGGCAAATACGTGTCGACATTAATGGAGCTAAGAGGTAATATGTAGCTTAAAACAAATCTTATGAATAAAGCTAAAACATACGAATAATAATTATTCACTGAATTTTATTTTAAGAGTAGGCTGGTGTTTGTGCTCCAGATGCCGGCATAGGTACTGAGTTTATTCCTGCTGCAACTACCTTTGACGAGGATGTTGAAGCTTGGTCCACTTGTTTCTGGGTCGTTTCAAGCTCTTGAATTCGTTTTTGGTTTATGTCCGTTTGTACTTCAACATAAACATTCATCATTTTTTGATTAAAGCGCGCAAATTTTGTTACACATTTATCTATACAGGTGTTCTATAAATATCAAATGATTTATTAAACATAATAAATTGATTGTGATGCATTATATTAATTACTTCAGCATTGGTTAATTCACGCTCGTAGAGGGTTTCCACGCATCGCGAAAAGCACAACTCCGTGACTTTATTATATAGTGTCAGAAAATCTTTAAGCTATGATACAAAACAAAAATGTAAATTATTAAAATATACATAACAAATATTAATATTACCCACATTTCGCAAATTTGGATCCATTGAAAGAGATTTTGATGCTTCTTTTCAGTTACTGGAAAATAATTCGTGCCCGTTGACAGCTGTTATGAATATTCACAGTGATATACCATGAATATAAAATATAATGAATATTACGTCATAATATACATAAATAAATTATTAAACCGATATCAGATACAATAATGGTAAAATCAATATATATTGTGTATCTGGTTAAAACTTTAATACTATATTCAATAGGGTTTATCTCTCTCACGTGCACAACTTATGTAAAAAAAAACTTTTTGTTCCACTAACTTGATGGGTACTTACTTAACTTAACTTACATCAACAGCTGGCGTTGACTTTGAATGGCGTTGTTCTCGTGTTTTCCTCTGTTTATATTTTCCGGCAAAATATCGTCAACATTGTTGTTGCTCCAACCACTACAAACATGGGAAACACCGTCCTTCGCATAATACCCACATACACTTGTATGAACTATAAAAATATACAATGCGCCCGCATATGACGTTTTTCGGTTTTGCTACACCCACTTTGTATCGCCAATTGACCATTCGTGGCTGTCAGTTTTCTTTCGAGTGGCGTGGAAATCACAACATTAACATTATATAGTGGATGAATAAATTTTGTTACTATGTATATCTATTTTTGAGTACAAATTTAAACTTTGTGAATCTAAAAAATATAAGCTAAGCAAAAATAAAGGTCTGAGCATTATTGAAAAAGTGAAATAAAAGGCTAATACAGGTAGGTGGAAGCAATGGAACGTAGATATATGAGCAATTTCGCCTCGAAATAAATATGGTGGCCATGGCTCAAGGACAGACGTTTTCAAAGAGGCATGTTGAAAACGTGTGGACATATGTATGCATATAAGTACATACATATTTATATTAAAAACATTGCCCTTATTACCATATATCGTTTTGTGTTGACATTTCGTTACATCGGTCGAATACGAGTACGCTCGAGCAATTGTGAAAAGCTGCGCAATTTCCTTCCACATTTGTTTTAAATTTGCTTGATTAAGTAACAATTGAAAAGTTAAGAGTTGGTTCCTAAATTATTCCAAAGAGGTTTTGTAGTTTAAAATATAACCACGTAATATAATTTTGTTAAAAATGTTTATACTTCTTCGGAATACCTATGCTCGGTGCTCTCGTTTGGAAATTATAAACAAATTAACTTGTATAACTGCTCTAAATTGTTCTGTTTCTCCTAAAAGGAATGTGTCAATTATTGGTGGGTCTACATTCATAAATCGAAGAAGTTTCTCAGGTGAGACTAGTTTTGGTCAGTAAGTTGTAGTAAGAGGATATGCGAAAGAATAAAAAGGCAAATTAATATGTGCATAATGTTTCATTACTTTTTGGTTACAAAAGTGTTCGACGCAGTGAAAGTTTTCATTAACTGTTTAGTAAACCAAATTTTCCACGTACGATCCCATATGTTATACATAAGTATGTATGTATATGTATTGTTAGTATATACTGTACAGTATTTGTAAAATTCGATACATGCGTGCCTATGATTCGAGTATTTACAATTTCAGCATTGCTGAATACAACTAAAGGGTCTACCAATTAGAACGCCGTGATGTTAATATGAAATAAAATCTTCGCCTGTTTACGTCAATTTTCGATGGTAGGGTGGGTGCAGCATTTCAGTTGAAATTTCGGCTATAGTGCTCTGAATGTTGTCTTCGAGCTCCTCGAGAGTTGCTGGTTGATTGGCTTAAACCTTTGATTTACATACCCCTAGTGAAAATAATCTAAAGGCGTTAAATCTAATGATTTTGACGACCATTTAACTGGGCCAATTCTCGCAATAAACGAGTCGCAAAACTTTGCACGCAATGTGTTGTAAAACATGAGGCGGCGCACCGTCTTGTTTAAAATAGAGATCGTCCGCGTCGATTTCATCAAATTCCGAGAAAAAAAGTCGGTCTACATCGTGTTATAACGCCCGCTACGGATAGTAACGGTTTAATCGTATAACACACTAAACGGTAAATTTTTGGGGATACAATTGCGTTTCCTGAACCACACGAGGATTTGACTGACCCCAAAAGCGACAATTTTGTTTGTTGACGAAGCCATGGCAAAGCTTACTAAACACACTGACAAAATTTGTCACAAATCCGTAAACGGACATTGTCGCTACAAGCTGTCAAAATCACGTCATCCTTATTGGTAGACGCTGTATTTTCTATTAAAAATAAAAATTGTATATATTAAAACGAATACCAAATTTGGAAAAAAATCTATGTTAAAACGCTGAATATTATTCGTAGCTACACGGGTACGAATTTCTAATATATGCATGTAACAGGTAGACCAAAACATTTCTGTTGTAAATTATAGGACAAATTATTAAAAAATTAAAAATATAAATAAATATAGTTTTGAAATCATATTTAACTGAAATACAATATATGAAGTCAACTTGTTTATTATTGCAGCACGTATTATATATGTATATACAGTGGCGGCAAAAAAAAAGAACACTTAATCAAGTTATCGTTTTTGTTAAACTTTTTTGTTTAAGGATTGGGTGCAAGCGAAATTCCCCGAATACTGCCAATGTGAAGCATGTAAAGGTGGACAATAAAATAAGAACAGAAGAAAGAAGGTCTATTTTGCTGGATCCATTCAAGTCAAGGATTCATCCATGGTTCAAATTTGTGCTCGGCCAGTTAGAAGACGTCTGGTGGAAAATAACAATGTCTATTCAACAAAATATTGAATATGCACACAATCTTACCTTCCGTTTTAATCATATTTATTAATTTTTTGAAGTGTTCTTATTTTGCTGTCCTCTTCCAATGTGATTCAGCATACCATTTAAGAGCTACTTTTTTTACAATGTAATGTTTTTGATTATATTTTTAGTAAAAATTAAACTACTGTATGAACCAATAATAATACATTTTATTTGAAATTTTCACTAGTTGTGATAGAACTTTTTTTTTTATGGGTTTTTGTACACTGACCGACACTGTATATTGTAAAACTTTTATATTTACTACACATACAGTAGAATAAATGTATCACATTGTTAAGAGTATTCAGATTAGTTTATCTTAACTACATTTATACGAGTATATGCATAGCTCTTAATAAAAAGCTTTCAAAGCCCTCCATTAATTCCCACCATAAATTCGACTTTAAACTAAGAATGACTATCAAAATATCACATGATAGTATACTTATGTATACTTGCAATTTTTTGTTTTTAAGTTGAGCATTAACGTTGTGGGATTTATTGAAATAATCAAAATGCCATCTAACTGCAAGATCATTTAATGACGAAGCATTCAAACCAAATTGAAACGTATAAAACCCAGTGTCTAATTTCAAATAAACTTAAATATATTAAGAGATAATAAATCATTACTTTCCAAAAATTTTTTGTTTTTAAGGTTTGCGTTTGATTTATAAAATTACAACAGAGTTTTTTTTAAATAAAATATAATTGCAGATAAACCACACGATCGAAAAACTACAGATAGCTTACTGCAAGAAAAGATGGAAAACAAAACTGAAAAAATTAATGTAAATAAGGAAGAGCTAAAGAAACGTTTAACGCCACTTCAGTATCAAGTGACACAAGAAGCAGCTACAGAGCGACCATTTACAGGTGCGTGGTTAATTTTGTGTTTTAAATACTTAACGAAAGTAATATTTTTTGCACATATGTATGTACCTCCAGGTTGTTATAATAAGCACTATGAAAAGGGCGTATACCGTTGTATAGTTTGCCAGCAAGATCTCTTCAGCTCGGATAGAAAATATGATTCAGGCTGTGGATGGCCCGCATTCAATGATGTGCTTGATAAGGGCAAAATAACCCTGCATCGTGATGCTAGTATTCCAGGTAAAGAATGAAAAAATCAACTTAAGGTCAATAGATATTTGCCTGCAACTGTTGTTGTTGCTACTAGATATGCGCGTACTCTAGTGCACGAGTACGTATGTATGTGTATGCATATTGTAGTTACACGCATCGGTGGCAAATATGGAACAGTTCAAATTACATATAGTACATTTGGTGATTTACAAATTTATTATATGCTTTGCTTTTGAATTATTTGAATTGCTTGTTATTTTTTGATTTCCAATTTTTGTAACCTATTTTAAATTGAATCTGTAAAAACATAGGTTAACAGGGTGTAGAGCAATTTTCAATAGCATATATCTTTACAGCAGCAGTATATATCCTCAAATTAGTTTGGTAACTATTTAATTATAGGTTTCTCGAACTCTTCTGATTTTTATTCCCTAAACAGTGTATATTAAGTTTGCCACGGAGTTTGTAACATCCGGAAGAAAGCGTTGCGAACCCTATAAAATATATACATATACATATGTATGTATAAATGTCCGTCTTTGTGCATATACACGAGCTAGTCTCTCAGATGAGATATCGATCTGAAACTTTGCACACGTCCTTTTTTCCCCAAGAAGCTGCTCATTTGTTGAAACCGCTTAAGTCGGACCATTAAAGCATATAGCTGTCAAACAAACTGAACGATCAAAATCATATCCTTGTTTAAAAACTTTTTTAATTAACGAGATATCTGAGCAAAATTTTGCAAGGATTATTGTCTAACGCAATGGTACAATTTCTGAAGAACCACTGTTCAGATCGAACCACTATAGCATATAACTGCCATACAAACTGATCGATCAAAATCAAGTCCTTGTATGGAATCTTTTGAATTTGTAAAGGATATTATACCATAGCTTCCGAGTAGTGTTGTTTTATTAAATTCATTATGTCAGATAAGTAACTATTAACTTAAACTGATTTTCAATTTTTATTTTTAATTGGCAATATGTAAATCTCTACCATAATCAAACATAATTTCAGTTTGTGTATTTAGACTTTTAGTTTTGTTTTCTTTTATTTTTGTAGAATGTATGTTCATACTTGTATTGGTATGACATATGCAGTCCTAAATAATTTCATTTAGTGATTTGCAACTATCGCTAACGCTTTTTAGATAATGTCTGGTCTTCCTTTCATAGTAAATTTGTGTATATTGGATGTAGAATTTATTGTATTCGTTTGCTGTATAATACCTATACAATAGAATTGTAAACGAGAGTTCAAGCTTATTTAAAGTTTTTTTGAGCGTGTGCGTCTATTTAAATGTATGTTTTATTCGTCCAAAGTTTTGTAAGCAAAATTTTAAAATCAACGAGTTGCAACATACAAAGCCTTTTGATTTACCTCGTTACTCTATGTTGTGTTCTGTACATATATACATACATACATGTTTCTATAGTGTATTATTAAAAGTTTTGCTCCCTTTAAATAAAAATTTCTCTTCCTTCCTTCTTTTTAACTTGCCGCAATATTTATTACTCGTATGTGTTGTAAAAACACACGGTTTGAAATTTTTAATAAATGCATAATATGCAATTGAAATACTGAACTTAAACACTGGATAATTTCTAAAACTAAAACTAAACAAAATATTGAATATCAATTGAATTTCTAAACATCTCTTCTACATACATACTCGTGCATTGATTATTACACCGCGCTTTTTACTGACACCCATGCACAAATTGGATAAACTGAGAAATTTCAATACACTTATACATATATACAAACAAATTAAATTTGTTAATAAAAAGTAGTAGTAATTTCGAAAATGTTAGGCATGGTGCGAACTGAGGTGCGCTGCTCCAAATGCTCCGCGCATATGGGACACGTTTTTGATGATGGGCCGCCGCCAAAGAATCTACGCTACTGCATCAATTCAGCGTCGATTGATTTTGTACCGCTAAAGCCCAACAGCAACATTGCCTCTGGTTCACCTTCCACAACTGCTTCTTTCTCAAAAGGGCATGTGAAAAAATAATTATCTGTTTACGTACAATTTGTTTTCATTATCTAAACAGGCAAATTTGTTTATTCCTATTTAGTACATACACGAAAATAGTACATATTGTTATATAAAGAAGAAAATAATATTAAAATATATTGTGATGTATAAAAATTGAGAAAAGCGAATGTATTTTTGATAGAAAATGTAATGTGGATCATGATAAAATTGCCTTGGGTATATATGTACATAATGGATATACATATGTATACATATTCGCTATAATTTGTTTCTTTTAAAACTTCGATATTTTCATATGAATTGTCATAAATGGATATTTATATAGGTACAATTTTTTCTTGGGAGAGATAAAATATATTTTACCAGAGAGATATTTGGACTTAATTTCTCTTGAGTATGACGTTTTTCATAGTTTTTATTTACATATACATACATACATACATGGGTAGATAAATTCATTTAAACATTGACTAATTCATATATATAGTTTACAATTAACGCTTGCTGGTGTTTTTATTTTAGTTTGCTTGAAAACTATTTGTTGACTTGATCAATGTGGTTATAAATTGTGGCAAGCGTAGAGAAATTAAAAAATGTCGGTAATTTCGATATATGTTGGTGGCAGGGTTGCGAATTTTTTAATTCAAAAATTAAATTTTCATTTTTTATTTTCGATTCCCAAGATGTTTGGCATTAAAATTTAACTTTTTAATATAATATTAAAAATTGAAAAATTAATTTGTAATCTCAAAATCAGAATCAAAAATTGATAAAATATAAATCGTTTGAATGAGTAAGTTTGCCAACCAGTTGTGGTTAATTTTAAAACAAGTTATTTTGTTTAATAACTAACTACATCTATGCTTGGGATTAAAGTTTTTTTCAATCCGGTATTTAAAAATAAATTCGATTTTTGTGATTAAATTTTTTTATTTTTATTTTTAATGATGTATTTGGGATGCAGGGTTCATATTGATGTTTTCCGTAAAAATTTTCTTCGAACAAATTACATGCATTGTTTATTAATTCTCGAACGGTCAGGGATCGAGTTCCGATCAAGGTTGTAAGTTTCGCGCTCGAATGCCGTAGCTGGTAAATGTACCACATTCTGTGTCTACGTGTTCACTTTAATTACGTTATAATGAATCGGTTCGTTATGCATCAAATTTTTTGTATCCTGATATGTTCGGCCACCAATTATAAATTGGCTATTATTATTTTTTTTTGTTTACATTTTTTTTTATAATATTTTTATATTCATGTCTTTACCAAATGCAGCTTATCAATATGTTATTAAATGCATTATTTTAAAAGTAAAATATATACAGTTGTTTATATATGAAATTTTGACATTGAAAATAATAAAATTTTTTCGTATATTTTTTCTATTTCTCCCTTTTTCGCTTTTTATACATGTGCCTGTACGGGGGTCTGAAATTTACACTCATTGCAACACACAATTATAAAATAAACGCATTAATGTTTGCTAATACATATTTATATCAAATAATGCATAAACACATATTAAAATCTATTACATACATGCGTCATTCATAAAATAATTGATATGTCATAACATGCATATCCTTTATTTTTGTGTTTTTCAAAACTTGTTAAACAATGCAAAACAACGCTCATGCTTATATTAATTTTATATACAATAAATTAACTGTATTTTAAAATAATAAACTGACATTCTACGTTACTCATTCAAATGCACAAACATTTACTGAGTGCTCTTTGCTGATTTATTTTTACTTTTATTTAATAATGCAATTTGCATTTATCATCTACCCAAATCATTTCTCTTCATTCTTCTATCATCACTTCGTTGTTATTTTTATTTCCACTTATTTTGCTGTCTATATTCACTGTCATGGCTCATTTTTCACTTGTGCATTTCATATTCTGCTATATTCTATTATTCATTTGTTTTTATATTTGTCTATACTTTCCGTTAATTGTTTTATTATATTTATATATTTTTTTAATTCAATAAAATATTTGTCCTCTGTACCCTCTCAAATTATATTATATTAATAAAATAATAATATGACTCCATCAAAAAAAAAAATAAAAACTACCCCAAACCCAAATTTAATTTACACTAATTGCAAATTAACTAAAAAATGCAAAATTCAACTTGAATAATCGTAACACACATCTCTATGGATTGTGCATAATTAACATCCTTTCTATTTTTTACCTGCCCATCACCAAATATCTAAAATAATGTATACAAAATAATATGTTGTATTTATATGCATACTATTTATAAATATAAATGCGTATAACCCACTTGTGCAAAACAAATCAATTAAAAGGGGGTAATATTTTACTACTAATTAAACATCCAGAACGCATACGCACAGAAGTACGCTGCGCTCGTTGCAATGCCCATATGGGGCACGTCTTCGAGGATGGACCCAAGCCCACTCGCAAACGCTATTGTATAAATTCGGCTGCAATCAATTTCGTCTCGGCCGACGAGTTGAATGATACTAATGGTGTTGGTTTAACCGAGAGCACGCGCACATCCACCGCCACGCCCATTTTGCAGCAATAACGAACAACATGCGATTGCGAATACCTGAAATGGATAAATGACGAAAACGGTACAAATATCATCGACGACTATGCTGAAAACTGAATTAGATAGTTGAGAAATTTTATTTAAAAAAATTTTTACATACATATTAATGTATGAAAATAAATAATGAATCAACAAGCCAAATTGTGGAACAATGGGAGTTGCCAAACATGATTTACATCTCAATAATATCTAGAGAAACTATCCACAAGAGAATCAGAAAATTATTTTGTTTTAAATTCAATAATAAGCAATTAAATTGTGGTTTGTTATAATCGGTAGGATTTTAAGATACAATAGTTATAAACTAAAAATCTGTAAATGGCGTTTACTCTTCTGGAAGATATGCCCGATAAATTGGAACCAAAAGTATTCGTATATACATATATATGTAGAAATGTATAAACCTCTATGTATGTATGTATATGATGGGCTCTTATCTGTTAGCATCAAATAACGTAAATTAAAAAATATTCGCGGAAAAAGAAAACGCTGTAAATACTTTTTCAAACAATAATATTTATAACAATTATGGTTAAACAGAAACTTTATTTTCCAGAATATTATTGCACATAATTCCAATGTATACCAAATATTTGTACGTAATTTTTATTTAACATTTACTATATTAATATTAAATTATTAGTCACGGTTGTTAATAGTCAATTAGCTTTTCAATTGTTTGTTTCACTATAAATTGTCAATTCCTTCTGTAACTATGTAAATAATGTCTTTATGTTATTTTCTAAACTAAATAAAGAAACTTTGAATTTTTTGATAAAACAAAAAAAAATATTGTTTTTATTTATTTTAACGCATATCGATAATAACAAATAAGGACCCTTCCTTGCGGGTGTAACCGCATATTTTATACTCTGTAGGCAAAACTTTTTATAAAAAAAAGTGGTGCATAAAAATTCAACTTTCATTATTCGACGAAAAAGTGCATCGAGCGCGTCGCATTCGGTGAATGGGCCCAAAACCAAATAGTCACCGATCCAGATTTTAATTAGAAAATTTTGTACAGCGACAAGCTCACTTTTGGGTACGTTAACAAACAAAATCGTCACATTTGGAGTGATGATAACCCACAATCCAATGTTGGAACGCAGTTACATCCTCAAAAAGTCACTGTTTGGTGTACTCTATGGGCAGAGGAAATCATTGGTCTATATTTCTTCGAAAATGAAACCGGCCATAACCGTACAGCCATTGGGGAACGCTATAGAGTTATGATTAATGCTATAAGAAGCCTCTATTGGATTAAATAGGGTTTGACCATAAAAGCCATTACAAATAAATGAGGGTTAAATCGCTTGAGCAATGGACGTGATTATAATACAGAATTCATAAAAGTGTTTTGTCTAAAGCTTAGATTATATTCACATATTCATAGTATGTATATATGTACTTAATTGACGTTGACGTCATATGTGGTATGTGCCTTAAAGCTATCCTACAAATGGACCTACATATGATTTTAGTTTAGCTCCGAGAAGTGGATTAAATTTCTTAATTTTTAAAGGCAATTTCTACAAAAGCAAATAGCAGAATCAGGTGAGAGAACCTACAACAGAAAATGTAAGTAAATAACATTTATTGAACTCAGAAAAGAGTAAGTGCAACAAATGAATGATGCTATATTAACTATTTAACTACCAGCCAGTCAACCTGTTAAAAATGCAACTTTGAGAATCTATCAAGTGCAACTACTTATGTATGTATATATATACAAGTACATATGTATATGTCAACATACTTAGACCTAATGTTTAGTTGTAAATAATTAATCAAATAATAAGAAAATATATAAATGAATTAAATTTTTATAGTGTACATGAACAGTGACATGAAGTATCCTCTAATTGGCTACTTAAGATGGTTCTCGTCTTAAGCTGACAAATTACACAACACGAAAAACATGGAACGGTCCTACTATATCATGTTATTATAATATTTTTAAATTTTATATCTAGATCAGCCAAAAAGTCTACCGTGTGGTGACCTATTCTTATCTGGCCACACTTGTGCTAATATTTCTAGTCACTGATTTTCTGAGGTAAGTTGAAAATGTATTTAATCTTGTATTAATCAATTCATTGTAAATAACCAAAGTTTATTCAACTAAAACAATGGTACTTTGCATGCATTTGATTTTACAAATCGTTTTTTATACTCTTGCAACATGTTGCTACAGATTATGGTATAATAGTAAGTAAAACTTGTGATATCTTGATGAAATTTGGTGCACGTGTTACTTTTCAGAAAAGGGCGAAACCAGTTCGTAGATGGACGTTATCGGACCACTGCCAATCTTACAAAACGCCATTAAACCAAAATGTAAATTGGTACAACAAATCGCAAAAGCAAGAGGCACTTGTGGTTTGAAAATGTGGAGATATCCTCGCCCCCTAAAAGATTTAATGTATAATTTTCCCAAATCATTCAAGATATATCACCCAATTTTGCACAGGATAAATCATTTCGACACCTTTTGCGACAGCGTGAAAATAGGTAAAATCGTATGATAACCATGCCCACACCCCATAACTTTTTTGTTAAAAACCACTAAAAGGGCGATAAATCTATTAATAAATGAACCAGTGATATAAAATTTTACACCCGAGAGGAGTTTATAGGGGCAAGTACCAAAATTGGTGTGGCACACTTTCTTCCCATATGACATAATTTTAAATTACATTTGTTATTTTCAGTTTTATACAAATCAAGCACCAATTAATATATCGCGATAAAAATTCGCAAGACTATTCATGAGCCCATGACTGATTTTCCACTTTTCCTGGTAATAATACATTTTAAATACCTAATAGAAGCATTTTTAATCTTCCGGCTGACTTCATACCCCATAATTCGGGCAATATGTGAGTTATCTTAATTAAATTGAGTGATCGTGTTTTTCTTCTAACGGTGCATCATCTGTTTTGTTAATAATATGAAGTAATGCCCAAAATAGATAAAATCGGTTCAATACTGCACCTATCTCCCATATACCTAATACAAGATTTTCAAACTTCCGGTTGGGCTTATGCCGTATACATCGGTCAATATGTAAGATATGTAGAAAAATTAACTGAATATATATTATTGGCTATACTTTGGTTTAATGCCGAAAATATGTGAAATTGCATTATATGGTACTACATTTAATAATTTCCCTAATATCATCAATTGCGATCTTCTAGTTGACTTTTTGCACATCCACTCATTATACAATTCGTATTAATTACTTTTTATTCAAGCCACTTAAACGTATTACATATAAAGTTTAAACAACTTATTTGATTTTTATATATTTTCATACGGGTACAAGCCCTTGATTATTTTGATGGGTACTTGTGGTACTGTAGTAGCATCTATGCTACTCTGGTCCACTACATTAACTGCTCTGCAAACAATCGAATTTTTTACGGTCTTTACTTGGCCTTAGAAGTCGCTTATTATACCTATATTTACGCTAAAGTGGACAAGCAGTACTATCACAAGGTTACTGCTCATATACGAGTGGCCATGTTTCTGGGTAAATTAGAAGCAGGCTTTTCCTCACAGCTACTGATTAATTTGAAGCTAATGAATTACAAATCGTTGCATTATATAACACTAAGCTGTAAGTATGCAATGAAAACACCAAACGATGCATGAAACCACAATTCGAATTTTTTATAGGTCTAATCTTTGCTACAATGTTGGCCTTCACTTTACCAAAAGTGGATAATAGTTTATATTTCCATACGTTTGATGATGTGCAACCAACGGCAGCTGTTAACTCATCACCTACGGAATTGCACGAAGCAAAATCAATTAAAAGTCAGGCAAAGAAAATGTAATTCCGATTGCACCTTTTAAGTTCTTGTGGTTACATTTCCATAATGCCTACAGTAATTTGAAGGTAGTCCAATGGAATATTTGGTATGCGGTCATTTTATGTGGTTATTTGCAAATCATCACTTATATGCAAGTGTTGTGGATCGAAATTGAGCCGAATATGGAAATTGCTTAGAATGGTGCAGTAGATGCCGTGTTAACAACATTAGCGGCTCTAACCGCTTTGGTGCAGGGTATATTCATGCTGGACGATCAAAATCACTTCAAAGTTTATTGGTTTTGTCTACTTTTGCGGCAATGAAAGGAGGAGCTATTTTACTTTGTTGTCGGACGTCGAATATATACATCTCTTACGTTGGCTATATACTTTATTGCGCCTTTTATGCATTCAGCATTTTTTATGTATATGTATGTATGTAAACAGTTTTGTATATCTATTATGAACATATATACACATATGTTTTTTTTTTAATAATTTATCCCCATAATGGATTTATTTCGATTCAACGCTGAAGTGGCACGTTATCTGGAAGAAGAAAGTTTTGGATAAGTATTCGGAGAAAATACTTTTATAGCGCTTGCATTTCAAACGCTATTAACAATAACGGTTGTTTCAAACTCTGGTTTAAGTTTGGACGTGCGTGGACAATACACCGTTTACGCATTTTACTACAGCGGTATTTACTTCTTATCTGTGCTTTGGAATATTTTATTAATAGAAATAGACAATAAATCGCACAAATATAGCTCTGGAGTAACTTTTTTGTGATATATATTTAAAACGATGCTAATATAGATCGATAATTGTAGATATCTAAAAAAAGTGATGGTTTATACTTTTTAAAGTTTTGTTTCGATTTCTTAGATATTAGGTAGATCTTTCCCGGTAATAGCTTGGTTAAGTCATACTATTTTCAAGTAAAGATATAATTGAAAGCATTTAAATGCTAAGCAACCAGAAAGTACGAATAAAGAACTCTGACTAGCCCTCTCCAAATAAAGACTTTATCAGCATGCATTGACACACAAAGAATGGTAAATCATGATATAATTATAATTTATGTATATATAAGTAGGTAGATCCATAATTGAATAATTGGTGTCATAGTGTAACAACCTTCATAAAAACAATAATTCGATCTGAATCATTTCTTCGGAGATTATAACGTTTATTTAGACAATAGTCAATATCAAATTTCGTAAAGATATCTTGTAAAATAAAAAAAGAGTTTCAAACGTAGACATGGTTTTGATTGTTCAATTTGTATGGCAGCTATATGCTATTGGATTTCCGACGCTTTATTCTGGGTGTTGCAAACTTCGTAGCAAACTTAATGTACCCTGTTCAGGGCATACAAAATTTATTAGAATTATTATCATATTTAGTAATGGTTTACCCTAAACTTATTGCAAAGGTATAACATCACTGTCCATTGAAAAAGTTTGACAAGCTACTCGCGAATCAGCTGTTTTACAGTATTGGAATTCATCTGTAAATAATTCTTATACAAAGTAGTAAATAAATATATGCATATTAGTTTTGAAAAGTATAGAATAATCATTTAGGAGCATGAATGACATAAAACGTTTAAAGGATCAACAACGTGACAAACATCCTGGTTTCGACTCATACTTAAATTGCATGACAAGAGCACTTTTCTCAGGTCTAGCTTCGTTTTGTCTGAGTAAGTTTAATTTCTTAAAAAGATATCAGTTACATAACTTCGAAATAAACTATAATAACAAATGTTTTTTTTTTTTACTATATTTTGTTATTTAGCATTTTCCGGTTGTTATTTTACGCAAAAACTTATACGTACAAAAATTAACTACCCTATTCAATACAGCGTGCTAGTGTCGGCTTTAGTGGCAACTAGCGTATCCTATACGACTACTACAACGCGCACTAAAGCTTGCCAAGCAGCTTGGATGGCAGCCGAAGATATGCATTCTGTGTTAAAAGAAGACAATTATTAAATTAGTATAAGTGAAATTAAAAAAACGAAAAAGTATATATTAATTAATTATAACACATACACATTTTATTAATTGTATATACATACATATATTGTTTTAACAATGTGGCTTAAAACTTTTGCAACAGTTAGGAATAGCAGATCATTTACACTTTTCAGAACTTCTCCAATAAGGTTCATTGAAAAAAAAAGTTTATTACGTGACTTTAGAGATCATGATGTATCAATTCGATTAAAATATGTGCAACACAAAGGTGTTAAAGGTATTCGCAGCAGAAAAGGTGCTTTCGAGTCGATTTCAAAAGATGAAAACGATGAACAAACTTTCATGACGAAAGATTTTAAAAAAGAAGTGAATCATGATGAATTTGTCAACTTGGACGATCGGTAAATAATAAAACACACATGTATTTTTTCATTACATTCTAATCTACTTCGTTATAATTACTTGTGGGTGTTTTATAGGGCATATGAAGAATTGGTCAGCAACGTGATGAACATTTCCCCCACATTTTTAACTCAGAATGTATTCATTATACAACCATACGTCAAATGGGGAAGTGAGCGAAACACCTTAAGTACTCCCGATGATCAGTTGGAAGAGGCGAAGGCATTGATTTCTTCTTTGCCCAACTGGCACGTTGGTCATGCAATTAAGATACCTCTCGAAACTTTAAATCGCAAGGCGCTCTTTGGCAGCGGAAAAATCGAAGAACTTAAAAAGCTTATTCAAGAACACAAGACTAAAGAGACCTTAACGTGCTTATTTATAAGCAAAAGCACATTATCATTTGCTCAAAAATGTTTTTTGGAAGACACATTCAAACTACCGGTGTTCGATCGATACACGGTTGTCATACAAATTTTGCGTTTGCATGCGACTAGTGCAGAAGCACGTCTTCAAGTTGCCATGGCTGAGATTCCATATCTTTGGGCACAAACGAAAGACGCAAATCCATCGCAAGCTCGTAAGCAGGGCTATTTGTTTACTGATGTTCAACGGGGCATTTTAAAAACCCGTGAACGTAAGTTAAAACAGGAATTAGAACGGATAAGAGATCACAGGTTTTTAGCATCAGCTTTAGTATTAACTTCCATTCATAACCGCATTTATATATAGGAGACTACTACGTAATAAGCGCAAACAAAAAAACTACCCTGTGATTGCTGTGGTTGGATACACAAATGCCGGTAAAACTTCACTAATTAAGGCCCTCACGCATGAGCAGAGCATGCAACCACGTAATCAGCTATTTGCTACACTTGACGTGACAGCACATGGAGGCTTTTTGCCGTGTAATCTCGAAGTTATCTATATCGATACAGTGGGTTTCATGTCCGATCTTCCCACTGGTTTAATTGAGTGCTTTGTGGCGACGCTAGAAGATGCCATGCTGGCTGTGAGTATTCCCTAACATAATTATCATTATCTATATCAAAAATAGCAAAATTAACAATAATTTCTTCCTCCGAGTAGGATATTATTTTACACGTTCAAGATGAATCACATATATGTAAAGAAGCGCAGCGGCAACATGTGGTAGCTACATTACTATCACTTAAAAACTCCATTGCTGTAAATCAAGAAATACCTCCTATTATAAACGTAGCCAACAAAATCGATTTGACGTCCTCACAAGGGCATCGAAAGGTGTCCAAAGATATGTTTTATGTATCAGCAACTGAACGCACAGGACTCAAGGAGTTGTCATTGGAAATTGAACGACAAATACTTACTGTGACGGGGCGGCGCAAAATAACAATGCGTGTGCAGAATGGTGGACCAGAGGTTGCATGGTTGTACAAGAACACCGCTGTAAAAAATGTAAAGGCTGATAATTCCAGCGCCGAACACTTGCTAATAACGGTGATTATAGACGAATTGACAATGCAGCAATTTAAAAAGAAGTTTTTATCAACAAATTATGCATAGCCGTAACACAAGAATGAGAACAATAAATTGATTGTGATAAACAAATAGTAATATATGTTTAATTGTAATTCAAACAAGACCACTTATTTGCTATTTCACTTCCCCATTGATATTTGCACACACTCGTTTAATTTCAAACAATTTAAGGTTAGTTTAATGTGCGGTAATATAAATAGCACAATAATTTAGAAAAATTATAAAAAAAAAAATCAATATCAAAGATCAAACGGATTACAAGCAACTTAACTCGTTGATGTTAACAAAACCAAAACAGTTTTTTCGCGATGAGATGGTTAAATGCAACAAATTTACTATAAAATTACTAAAATAAACTTATATGGAATATTTATAACAAATTTATTGTGTTGCTAATAACTATAGGATTTGATACCATTTCAATAATTTAATTGTCCAGTAATAAAAAAATAGTATGGCTTAATAATATTGAACGCATATAATGCATATGGTAACAGCTTTCATTAAGTGGTAAGATTTGTGTGCATTTTATTATATCTTATTATGATTTCTTATACGCTTCATATAATATAGATACATACATATATCCAAAAATGAATAGGTATTAAACATACGTTTATGCTTTTGGATTTCCTTAAGAATGATTGGAATGATTACGAATTTTTTCTATTAAAAATATGCTTTGCGCGTAATTATTTGTCAAAAGAGAAATGCCTGATGCCACTGACCGTTCAATTTCTCTTTCCTGTTTAGAAATTTTGACTTTTACATTGTAAATAAATGTGGAAACCAGAAGACTTTTAAGGGGGAAGTAGCGTTTTTAAATTTTTTGTTTTGTATTATTAAATGCATAATATATCAAATTCGAGTCTACATTTCAAGTCGATCCTAGCAAAAAGCTTGAAGAAGTTATGGCAATTTTTAAACTTGTCTTATGAACGTTTTACATCAGATTTCAAAACTTTAAAGTGTTGCCCTACAGCTCGCGTTTTCAAAGTCGGTGCCCCTTGCTACTTCAAAACTACTTAGCCGATCGTTTTGAAAAATTTAACACTATTTCTATATATAATTCACGATGTAACGCTGGAGAAATAACTAAATAAACAAACCGATGACTAAACGCAGTGTTGGCAAAACAAAAACTAATACTAAAAACACTATAGCTACGTGGCAATTCCGGGCATGGGAAAGCAGTTGACTTTTGCTACGTTGTTTTAATAGTTATAATTTAGATGGCATAGAGTTCATTTGAACGCTTGCTACACGGTAGTATTGTTTGAATGGCAACAGCTGACAATAGCGTAATAATTCAGCTTCCAGTGTCCGTAATGATTTGCCAGGACCATGCTGCAGCATTCCACTCTCTTTGTCCTTTTGTATATAGCCAGCTTGTTGAAATGAGTTCAGTGCAATGTTCAAATTATCTAGGGCTAAACAATAGGGATGTACATTAGTAACATGCTGTTGCTGCATAAGTTTTTCTATGCGCTTTTGCATGTGTATGAGAACATCTTTTGAGCTGAATTCATCAGATTTGTTATTCGAATGTGAGGAGCAAGTGACAAGTGGAAACTGTTTGAAATAATAACAGAAAATGTGGTGTTATTAGTATTTCTTATTTATAAAATAATACATCTCTATATGTAAAGTTAAAGTTTATTGCTTTTACCTGATTGACGGTCACTGCTAATTGGTAGTAAACGCATAGAAAAGGTGCTAATGAAGAAAGTATAATTTTCATACATTCATTTTCATTAATAGATATTTGACCGTTATGTGACGATATCTTTAATATGTCATGTTCTGATATTAGCCGCAGAATTCTATTGAATTCCTGAAACAATAAACAAAAATTGTTTATATTAATATAGACTGCCTGTATTAATGACATTACTTCAATGATTCTCACCTCCATATCTCGACTTGACTCAATTATAAATTCGTGTTTGAAAATACTATCCAATAAAGTCACACGTTGTAATAAGTTTTCTACTACTGCAGCGTAGGTGCTAGGTAAATCTGTTGTTTCATCATTTGTGCCTTTTTGTTGGTCCGCTTGCAATTGCAATGCCGCTAATATAAGATATGCCGGTCGCGCAAGCCAAAACATGCATGGATTTATGTAAAGCTGCAGTGCCAATGTGGGCACTGCTACTGCCATGATCTGCGGCAAAAGCGCGTGTGCCTTCAGTCTTCTAGTGTCGATCTCCTGTGCAAGTTGTGCAGCAGCTACTTCTGTGAATTCTAGTTGGGCATTTTGAAAATGCACAATATTCGAATGTATATCTACGGTTTCAATTATCTCCATTTTAAGGCGATTCATATCGGTGGCCACATGGGCACCTAACTCTTCGAAAATACACTTTAGCTCAGCAATGCCAAGTGCTAAATCGTCAATGTTAACCGAACGTTCCACATACAATTGACTGGCGTAATATAAACACAACAAGTTAAATGTACTTATAACGATTCCCCGTTGTTGTTGGTAAATTACCTACGTTATTCATACGATAAGTTGTGTTAATGTAAAATTGCAACTAAAACACTGTTCAAAATATACTTAGAAAGATATACATACCTCGTTGCCTAGTTTTTTAATCAAATCCAACTCTTTTCTGTCCAGTTTTTGCAAGTGCGCACCCACACTAGCACGCTGCATTCTATCTGCCCCCGTGTGACCAAAGTACTCGCGCACAGAAATTGGTTTACCAAAATCTAAATACATTCTTCCAAAGCGTTCGTCAATAATTTTAAGTGCTTTAAAAAATCCTTTTGTCGTCTCTTTGGGTTTTGGCACGCCAAGCAATTCGTAAACAAACAATTGCTCTTCTAGTAAGCGTTCATAGGATATACTTACTGGCACAATGGTAACATCCTCCACTTCGCCCGTAAAATAAGGCAATAATGCCATTGATAGCAGACCTACCTTTGGAACGAGTGCCTTGAAGTTGCGACTGCGCGTGCCCTCTATAAAAAATTCAACGCCGATGTGATAAACAGATATCAATGCATACATATACTCGCGAAAAATATCCCAGTAAAGCTCATCATTTGAGAATGAGCGACGCATAAAGAATGCACCGGTTTTTCGTAACATTGTCCCCATGCCGAACATTGCGTGAAAATCTATAAATCAAACAAATTAAAAACTTCAAAATTAAACAGACAATATATGTACATGTGTATGTGATTAGGCATCAACAACATCTCGACTCACCCATTCCTGCCGCTATACCAGGTATTTCAATATCATAATAGAAACAAATATATGACATTAATACAAAATCCATGTAGCTGCGATGGCTGGGCAAATAACAAACGGGGTTTCGTCCCAATTGCTCCCGAACTCTCCGAATACTGGTGACATTAACGTAAATTCCTGATAAGATACGTTTTGAAATAGCTGTTATAGCCATACCACACCATCGTATAATCGCTAAGTTACGCTCCAAGCCAATTTCATCGATTATATCTTTCACCTGCTTTTCAATCTGCTTCACTGGGCAGTTATTTATTTGAGCATAATGCTCGATAATTTTGCGTACCTTCTCACTTCGAAATACGTGTCGTTTCAAAGATTGCGGATTCAGATAGCGCTCGAATTCATTAGCCACTTGAGGTTTATACTCTTTTGTCATCACCAGTTCTTTTCCCCTATCGATGATGTTCTCAAAATCATCCATGTAAGTAGCAGCACTCGATACTGCCCTAGAAGTTAAAGGGTTTGGAGATGATGGGGATCCCCCCGTCATCTTTTGGGCTTGACTACTTGTAAGTTCCAGCTAAATGATCAATGGAAGATATGCCCGATATCAATACAAAAAATTTAGTGAAATTTTTAAATTTTATTTGCAACAAATGTAACTATTAATAATGTCGTCGATTTAATAAATTTACTTGCTTGCGAAATTGTATAGTAACCTGACATGTACGCGGATAGATATATGTTAACTTTTGGATTCCTTGGCCAGTTTCTTCTATCGGAATAATTATTTAGAGAATATTTTTATCATAGTTCTAATTTTATAAACTCAAGTGATGTTCTAAAGTAAAAGGAGATTATGAACTATTTTAATGTATTCGCCCAATTAGTTCAGTTCAGTTTAGTTTAAGGCGTAAATATAAACAAAAGAAAATAATCGTACAAAAATGTATGCACATACAATTTTCAAATTATAAGTGTATTTTAGATTTTAGAAAAAGTCCAAAATGTATTCTATATATGTATTGCCACGCAAGTAGGAAATTATATTAGACAGGAAATAGATAGGTATGTGTGTATGTATTGTATAAACTAAATCCACAGAACTTACTGAACTTAAATATATTTGAATTAGTTCATTGAAATTAACTAATTCAAAAGCAAAGGTTGTAAAACATAAATTACATTTAATTCATTAAACCAAAGGTAACCGGTACTAACTATGTACGTATTAAACTGCGGCTCAAGTGCACATCATATTACCGAAGGAATGAACGACCTATTGCATTAACGTTTGACGAAGCAAAAAACACAAACAAACATCACTTGTTTTTTTTTCTATCAACAATACAGGCAGCACATACTCTCTTTTGATGCTTGAAAGGCAATGCAATGTAAAACATTGTCTTTATTGCGTAGTGCCGTTTCACATTGGGATGCAAAAGAATCTGATGTTTTTCAAATTTTCTTTTGGTGTCGCTCTGGGCATTCACACGGTCAAAAAGAGTCCAGCAACTCGAGTCTAGTTTTTCTGCATTCCTTTTCACAAAATGTTCGTAAATATTTGTGCGGTTCGACTGCGCAACACCGCGCAACACTGCGTGCTGCGTATTTCATTTGTATGTTGAGATGATGGTCACACATTTTGCTTGCAATGAATTACCATGAATATGGTAGAACAATATGCATAATACAAGTACCTACCCGCTAAATAGTTTCAAAAAAATACTAAAGACGGGAATTCCCTAATCCACAAGAATGTATTGAATATCCGCAACTAATATTTTCAAGGCCAAATTTATAATAGGAATTTCCTAATCTTTAAGTATTAAAAACTCATAATTTCTTTACTCCATAATCTATATCTTAATTTTCTCCTTATTTACAAATTTGTCATAATATTTCTATTATTCTATGCATACGTATTTGCATATTACATACAAAAATAGATAACAGAACTCAAATTTGCGATCGAATTCATTTGAAACCGAGCGCTCTTGCAACTATTCAAAGGATTTGAAAGTGAAAAGGAATGCTGAAAAGGGTAGCAGCGAGCTGTTACGAACAAGAACACAAAGCGTGCCACCCGAACACGAGTGGCACGGTCCCTTCGTCTTTCCTCGTCGTCCCCTCACCCACAATAAACTGGTATGAGACTCTTTTGCGTCCCAATGTGAAACGGCACGTACATAAAAACATACATATATATTTATATATGTGTATATTTTGCACATAACTAGCCTGAATATTTTGAGAATGTTATTAACGATTTTTCACCATTGCTTATACAATAGATTTTATCAAAGTATTATTTTACAACGAAAATTATTTTTCGTTCGACCAAAACTAGATTTCTATTGCGCATTAAACTTGAATAAATTTCCCGCGTCAAGTAGTCAGTAAAGTTAGCAAACTAAACACTTTTACAAGTGCAGCAATTATTTTTGTGAAAGCAAATGTTCAGAATTTGAATCGTACCACTGTAGAGAATGGATAATATTCGTACATCTGTACAAAATATATATATATATATATATTCGATTACGTACCTATGCATATATAAAATATACGAAATTTATCTCACAACTTTTTTGTTGTTCATACTTTCACTATTTTAAAATTTGATTGAAGAAGTCAGGAAAGTCAGGATACTCTTAACTGATCAGGCTGGGAAAGCTTTGTCATGCACACACACCAAATACGCACAACCACATAACACGCTTATATGCATACCAACGTTTGCATGCAATTTAGTTGAATAATTATGCAAATTATGCATACCTTTGCGTAAATTTATACACTTTAAGATGAAATTATTTGCTTAACTTTTTTGGATGTGATAGATTTAACTATTTGTTTAATATGTATAATTAACTGAATACAAATCTTGCTGACATTGAATTTCGGTTACGCGTTCCGCGACAGAAGCACAAGCAATAGCAACAACATGAAGGAATATCAGGTGTAGCGAAATAGCACAGCAACGATAACAGTTCGCAAAGAAAATCTACGGCGAATTCAAAAGTGTTGTTTTTCAAAAATCCCCACAATTATATATATAAGTATAAATTTGAAAATTTGAATAACAAACAACTCGTTTGGATTATTCCTCAATGCATTATATATTTTTTAAATTCTTTAGTACAAAAGTTTTTACAATTTACATTCTACATTCCACAAAATTGAAACCAAATCCATATTACCCTATACCATGATCAAATCTTATGATTTAAGAGAATTGACAACACTGTATATTAATGCATTCCTAATTATCATTATCTTATATTATCATTCATACTTCTTGAACATAGTGAAACCAGGTGAAACCAGCCAATTACGTTGAATGGAGCTTCACATAAAAAAGTGCCAACGTATTTTCAGTCACACAGTTTTGTACTAGCCTTGCAATATTTGTTAATGAATACATGCATATACATAAGCTGTGTTTTGCGCTTGGTTAATTGTGTTATTATAATTAGGCCGTGGTTCGTTAAAAATTCAATTAATTAAGTTTCCTGCAATTTTGCATTTAATCTGTAACGATGTCTGTTCCAAAAAAGTCTACCCCCTCTACACTTATACAACTTTTCCATATTATTTTGGACAAAGTTTTGGAAGTTATACTTGGATGGATTCTGGGTGTTGAACGACATGTGCCAGCTCCACCAAATAAGGAACACGAAGAACTGCTATCGTCCAGCGCAGTGAAGCTTGCTGGGCTTATTCGGGAACGAAAAGTACACTCTTATGAACTAGTTAAAGCTTATTATGAGCATCTGCTTTTTGTTAATCGTGATTTAAATGCTGTTGTTGACGGTCCATTTATAGAAGCGCTTGAGGAAGCCAAGTTGATTGATGAACGTTTTAAAAATGGCGATATTACCGACGAGGAGCTAAAAAGAAAACCATTTCTTGGAGTACCATTTACTACAAAAGACAGCACTGAGGTAAAAGGCAAATTACATACACTCGGTTTGGTATCCCGACGAAATGAACGTGGTTCAAAGGATGCTGAATGTGTGCAATTAATGAAGGAAGCTGGAGCTATATTTTTGGCAACAACAAATGTGCCAGAAGTTAATAAATGGATTGAGACCCGTAACATGTTGATCGGTCAAACTAAAAATCCATATGACTACAGACGCTCGGTTGGTGGTTCTTCGGGTGGTGAAGCAGCGTTAATAAGTGCTTGTTGTACCGGATTTGGCTTGGGCACAGATATCGGCGGCAGCATTCGTATACCAGCATTCAACTGTGGAATATTCGGCCATAAGCCCACCAAAGGTGTAGTTAATATGCGCGGCTGTACATTTCGAAGTGGAAACGAAGAAGACACAATGGTTGCTGCTGGACCAATGGCTCGGTATGCTGACGACTTACTTCAAATAATGAAAGTACTAACTGGACAAACAATGTTTAAGGAACTGCAATTAGAAGAGTCAGTAAATTTAAAAAGTTTGCAATATTTTTACGTACCATGTAATAACATGATACAATGTAATCCCATTGGAAAAGAGGAACAAAAGCTAATGATAAAACTTTGTGAACATTTCACAAATTTATCAGGCTCAGATGTAAAACTAACTACATTGCCGCATCTTGATATGACAGGAAAAATGTGGCGATACTGGATGACACAAGAGCCAGCAAACTTCAACAAATTGCTGGGTAATGGAGAGACACTTAATCCGTTTATCGAGTTATTCAAAAAACTAATTGGGCGGAGTGACTTCACAATGGCAGCGATTTATTCCTTAATAGATGCTTTGTTACCACCAGAAAAGGAACATAAAATACGGGAGGCAACAAAGATGTGTAAAGAAGCACTAAATGACCTACTCAGGGATAATGGTGTATTATTCTTCCATAGCTCACCGCGCACCGCTCCATTCCATTATTATCCTTTAATCAAATTCACCGACTTTAGTTACTTTAGTATATTCAACGTTTTACATGTACCAGTAACTCAAGTGCCCATGGGTTTGGATTCGAGAGGCATGCCTATGGGTATCCAAGTTGTGGCTTCAGAAATGAATGATCGATTATGTCTACATGTCGCCAAGGAGTTAGAGAGAAAATTTGGAGGCTGGGTAAAACCATACAATTAAATATATTATTTCTGTTGTACAAGTGTACTTTTTACTATTTGGCCACTGAGGTTAACTTCACGTTGATACAAAATAAATAATCATTTCATAGGCTAAAATTGGATGATGGGTTTATATTTTTATTGATGAAATAAAAATATTAATATAATTAATACTTTTATATATCAACTTGTTGTTTTATTTACTAAAAAAATCTGAAAAGGTTTGGATTGTTTTTGTTCTACTAATTAAGTTTCCTAAAATACCCAATAATTGTAACAAAATTAAAATATAGAAATACGAGCAAACTTTCAAATGACAACAAGAGAAGTCCACCAAGTCCATAAATAAATAATAGTATTCTATCATTCTTGACCAAGTCTATAATGAGCATTGTATAAATCTACACGTAACCAATTGTAAGTTTTTCACTAATACACACGCAAATAATAATGAGAACTTAGGTTGAGTGCCAATCAGTAAATTTCTCTAAAATTCTTTGTATTTTTGGCAAATGAAATACAAAAACATTCTTGAAAATAACATGATTCAATTACATAAAATCAGAAATGATGAAGGAATCAAAATTTTTAATTTCATCTGCTATAATTTTAATCTTTCCACCGATTGGCACATAGCATTAGCTTTAAAATAGTAAACGAAAAAACATAAATAAAAAATTAACAATCAGCTGCTTTCTTAACCCCTTTCAACAGAAGACCTTTAAAAGCCAAAACAAAAAGAATATATACATTTGTATATGCACAGTTTACATATATCAAGGACATATGTATCTTTATTAAAGAGCAAAAGTATAATTGATTTTCAAATCTAAAAAATATAGAATTATAAATCACATACATGTATTATGTTGCGCACCAATCAAAATGTATCGTCTCAAATATTGAAGCGGTTTGTTACGAGGCAAAGAAATTATGCGGCAAAGTCACGCCAGAGTAAAAAGGCGCAAATCCAACTTCCACCAGATAACTCTAATGGACTAGATGTGCCTGTGGAGGAAACCATAAACGCCCACTTTTTAAAACGTGAAATAGGTTAGTGTTTTCAACACATTCGGTGTCTTTTTTTAGAACTTAACCATATACATTTTTTAGGCTCTACCCATCTTAAATGGAGTAACGTACTTGTCAAGTATCCGGAATTGAAAGCTATAAAGAGACAAGATGCCGTTAATACAGTCAAAACTTTAAAAATGTTGAATTTCGATGTAGAAACCATACTCCAAAAGCCGGTTGTGTTACATCAAAATGCCCTTACATTGGAGAATCGCTATGAAGTTCTGTATGAATGTGGTTTTCAACCCATCACCCTTATATTGCTTTCGAAATTTGTAACAGTTATTAACAAAACTGTTTCTATGTTGAAATCATATGGTTATATACCCTTTGAAGTGAACGTTTTAGCGAACTTGTGTAATTCTTTTAGTAATGAGGAATTATCTGTGAAAACCTTTACAGAATTGAACGAGGGAATGAATATAAAACATTTGCGGGAATGCATACTAAATACTTACCTCCGACAAGTTTTGGACATGAACGATAATGATATAAAAAAGTTGTGGCAAGTTTATTACCGCGTTCGGCATCGTAGTTTCAAATCCGTTCAATCAGTGGTAAAGGTGCTACTCGAAGATCTACATTTTCCAAAAGAGCGTATAATAAAGAATGCTTTTTTACTTCACGGTGATGCCGAAAACATGAGTAGAATAATAACCGAAATAAAACGAATAGACGGTCAAGATATGCGTGAAATTGTATACCGGCGCCCGAAAATATTGATGTCTTCCTGTGACGGGTTATTAAAAACACTTGAAAATGTTAAAGCCTTTGGCATACATGAATCGGCAATAACGAAATGTTTGGAAATCCTAACACTCGGATCCGATACCATACTGGAGCGTTTAAAAGATTTGAATTCAATAGATGAATTCAAAGTTTTGGGCACTAATCCACGAGTGCTTCGTCTTGTACATTACCAAAACAAAGCTCGCTTACGTTTGGAATACTTGAATCAACTAAAAGTGCGTTGTGCCTCTCTACATATTTTGTCTGGGGGATCAGAGAAATTCGCTAAGTTCGTATACTATCCTTAAAATTCTTCAAAATAAAAATACAACTTTTTTTAAGGTTTGCGCGTGAAGGTGTAGATCGCACAAAAGGACGAGATGTTGTAGTTTACTTGGCAAATATAATCGGGAAAGACGAAAATTATATACGTGCATTACTTTCCAGACATCCCAATTGGTGTCATATTCCTGTGCTGCAAGTTAAGCAATGTTACGATTTTCTGCGTTCAAAGAAATTTCCAATATCGGCTATATGTAATAATATACATCTACTTTTATATCCTATGTAAGGCAATTATACAAAATAGTGTTTCTAATGTTCATTGATGTTATAATTTTAATACCGTTTAGAGAACGAATTGAAGAAAAACTTAACGAACTTCATAAACCAGAAAGTCTTGAGGAATTACAATTGCCAGTGGATAACATTTATGATTTGGATAACAATGAAATGCTCACGCTTATTCTTTATTTAATCGAATGTGAATTCCATTTTACTGGAGATGGCATTTGGACGGAACAGCAAACACAACCTGTTGAAAATTTTAATAACTTGCTTCCTGATTTTCCGGAGAGTTTAAATAAAATTTACAAATATGGAATTAAGCCCAGCCGAGCAAACCAATCAGCCAATAAGCCAACAGAACTGAGATAATCGTGGCACAAAACTGACACAAGTGTAGTAATGAATCAATTAGGTAGAAATCGTTATATTCTTTCATTTTGAATTCTATCTTATTAAATCTTTCTAAAATTATGAGTATATTACGGAGTTATTTAAATCAAAATTATGTAAATATATGTACATTACGCGAGTTGGAAAATTAGTAACATTTCCATGCCGCGGCGCCATTGAACTGAATTCATATTTTTTAGTTAGCCACAATCTTTAAAAGAAGTTTAGGGTTTAGATGAACCCAGTAGATGTCGAAAAGAGGCAGACCTAATCGATACAAGGCGAATTATTTCAAAACAATGAAGACGATGGCAAAATTGAGTCGAAGTGAATTTTCCGGATCTACCACTCAGGTATTTTTTCTGTTCTCCACAGCAGCAAAAATATAAGGAACTAAGGACATCCTATGAAAAGTTTCCTACGGTACCGTTAATATGTAACTACCAAATTTAACGACGATGAAGAATTAATCACCAAAACTGACTGCCGACAAATTATAAGTTTTGTTAAAAAATACAAAATGTTAGAATGATACATCCACATCTTTATTTCTCTCCATCTTCATGTTTAACGGTTATGGCCGAATGTTTAATCGAACAATTTTTAAGCTTTTCTAAAATTTCCTTGTAAGCTGGAGAAATAGGTTTTTGTACTACTTCCTTATATGTGTATTCCGAGTTTTCGTTGAGCTGGAGATGAAGAAATAAAAAATGTGTTAATATTAAAAATTACAAATAAAATACTTACCTTTAAACTGTACGACATATCTGAGTCGAATCCACGCATATCGCCGCATACTACAAACGGAATAAGTTTACGATTTACATTCGAGTTTGTTTCATCTACTATCACTTGTACGTTATCAACCATTGGGTTTATCATTTGTGGAATATAACCGTCTGGACAGCGATAATTTTGACACACTACAAACGCTTCAATACTAGAATTTCTTGAGCTAGCTGGTTTGGCTATGGATACTTTCTCAAAGAATATACGTAATTGAGAATATAGCAAATTTGTGTCTTTGCCGCGAAAAATCTTGGCGACAAAATTTCCGCCTGTCATCAACACGTGTGTGGTAATACTTAGTGCAGCTAACAGCAATTGACTCTGGATGTATTCGTCGATATCGTGAAGACCGGTAACATCAGGTGCTCCATCGCATATAACTAATTGTGCCTTTTGGGATTCACCACCGAAATGATCAATTATGGCTTGCGCTGTACTTAATTTTGTTATATCGCCTTGGATCTGTGTAACACCAGGCAAGGGTGCCATAGCTTGTAAATCCACTGCTATGATTTTTACCTCCTCGTTGTCAGTGCGATTCTCGTAGAGACGTTTTGAAAGTACTTGGGTCCAACTACCCGGTGCAGCACATAAGTCAACGGCTCGTGTTACATCTTATGAAAAAAAAAAATGTAAGTAATATAAGTAATGAAACAAATACAAACCTTTCAAAATATGAAATTTTTCATCGATCTGTAGCAATTTAAATGCGCTTCTAGCACGCCAACCCTCTTCTTTCGCTAAACGATAATATATATCTCTTTTATCTTTAGAGGTCTTTCCCATTGTACGAGTATAAACTAAAACACTCTTTCTAAGTTAAGTGTTTTACAAGTTATATTAAAAAGTTCTGCAAATTGGGTTAGAACAGATAGCAAGAATCATGGAATTGCAATATCTTAATCATTTTTGAAAGGAAGTTTTTTTCATATTTGCTTTAACTATTCATACCAGTTTCTCTTCGCAAGAGAACGTCGAAATTTTGACGTTATCTGCAATTATACTCAAGAATGATAGAATACAACGACAACAATTTCCCGTTACTTTTTTCGGTTTAGGGTCTGACAACTGTTACAAAACAAATTGCACTATGCCGCCTTCCAGTGACGTATTATTTTGAGTTGGGAAGAAGAATCATAGAACAGCATGTAAATTGTAAATAAAAACGTAAACAATTTCCTTAATCCGTGATTAATTTATTAGTTTATAGTGAAAAAACCTAACTGAAATTAAAATATTTTGATTTTGTAAAATGAAGTGTGCAGTGGCGAGTTGAAATAACTATTAAGCAAATAAACCAATAAAAATGAACTATTTCAGTTTTCCTTCGGATATACAAGTAGCCAAAAATTTGTTAATTTTAATTCATAATCATAATAATTATAAATTCAGAATGTTTTCACTATAATTTTATTATAATAAGTCAAAACTATTATTAATATATATATATTTGTGTATAATATAAGAAACTACTACGGGATACATCGCCATTGCAATCAATCACTTAATTGGCAATTATGTTGCCAATAGATAAAAGTATTTATTTCAAAATGTCCAAAACATCTCCCCGTAACATTATTTTATTTATTTCAGTAAGATTTTTTTCACAATAAAATATGAAATTAAGTCTATTTCACGAATTTAAATAAGGGTTTATAATTTTATGTACAATTTACATGCTGTTCTATGCTTGTTCTTCTCAACTCAAAAGAAACACGTCACAAGATGGTGATTGGCGTAATCATCTATTTGGTCATTCTTGATTATACTCAACAAAATCTTAAAATCGAACGGAACTATTAGGACAGTCAAAGTATTTGTATGTTGAGTTGTCAAAATCAACCAACACGTGTAATTACCCGGTATATATTAGCATTTAGTTTGCTTTAATTTTTGTGGGTATAATAAATAAGAACTAAAGATGTCTCTAATGCGTATAAGGTAAACTATGGAAAACGTTTTTAATTCTTATATTAACATTTGTATTTCCATGATTTAGAAAACCAAAAACCCGTAAGGGAAAGCAGATATTGTTGAGCCGCGAACCGCAGCTTATAGAACCTACACGTACTATGCTTTTCGTTGATGGTCGCAAATGCGGTGGAGATATAAAATCTTGCATGAAGGATCTTCAACAGCTACGTAAGCCTCTCGTAAAAATATTAAATCGTAAAAACGATATTACTCCATTTGATGATCCATCCTCTTTAGAATTGTGAGTTGTTTTTTTTCAATTACTATATTTGTACTAACATATTTCCCATAGCTTGACAATGAAAAACGACTGTGCACTATTTGCATTCGGCTCGACATCAAAAAAGAGGCCAAATAATTTAATTCTTGGGCGTATTTTTGAAAACGAAATATTGGATATGATTGAATTGGGCATAAAGCATTACACTTCAATGCCTGAATATAAAACAGAAAAAATCGGTACAAATGTAAAACCATGCCTTATTTTCAATGGGCCACGTTGGAATCAAACTGAAGAATTACGTCGTCTTAGAAACTTGTTAATAGATACATTCCATAAAGATAAAGTAGACGCTATTCGTCTACAGGGAGTGGAACATGCAGTCAGTTTCACATGTACGGAAGATTTAACCATATTGATGAGATCTTATAAAATAATGTTAAAAAAATCTGGACAAAAGACACCTCGTATAGAACTTTTAGAAATTGGTCCTTCCGCTGATTTTTCAATTCGTCGAACAAAAATCGCTTCAGATGATCTTTACAAACAGGCTAGAAAACAACCAAAACAATTGCAACCGAAAAAGAAGAAGAACGTTACATATGATGAATTGGGAAATACGCATGGCCGTGTCCATTTGGGAAAACAAAATGTAACGAAGATACAAACGCGTCGCGTGAAGGGATTGAAGAAAACGCCAGAGGAAAAGCGCGACAGTAGGCAGAAAAAGAAAGAATTGATAAAAGCAGCTGCCAAAGAACTACTGAAAAATGCACTATAGTAAAGATATATCTGTTTATTACAGTAGATTTTAATTTTAATAAAATAGTTTTAAAGTTGTTATATTAGCAATATTAGCTTTATCAATGAATTCCACTAACGATGTTACGTATACGTCTACTCTTCGATTCATAAAGAGCTGTTTCTAATACTTGTATTATATGGACTAAACTACTCAGATCGGTTTGCACCAATAAGTCCTTGCGATTTCGTCTTTCATCCGAATGTATCGCCTGACCTCCACCATCTTCGAGAAGGTCTCTGTTTTCGTTTTTTGGTTCGGTGTGTAAATATAACTTCATTGTTACTCGTATACTACTTTGCCGCAAGAGGCTTCGTGTAGCTAAACGCACCTCCAAACGCCATTCAATATTAACCAAACGATACGCTCGAATATTAGCAGACTTGATTGATCCTTCAACGAAATGTCGTTTGCTGCTCACAAATTGCGACAACACTTGCATGACGTCATTACTATAGCCTTCCTCCTGTTGTAAACTTTGCAGGTCGAACTCACTAGTATTCCCTTTAGTGGCATTAATGAGTAAGGCAATAAGTGCCTCAACTGCATGTTGCACCACACCTGTATCTGTAGAATATTTTTCAGCAAGATGTTGATAACGTTGAGTATTCGGGCCAAGAGACAAGTACTCAAATGCTGCCTTGCAAAGCTCCACAACATCTTCCGAACGACGATCGCGTAATAATTCTAAATGTCTCCGTTGATCTGTTTTTAAATTTAATAACATTTTAGCTCAAAATTTTTTCAAAAAGCAGCGCAAGACTATTGTTGCTACTAATTTTTGTAAATAAATACAATAAAACTACTAATGACGTTTACGAGTCATTAACAATCCACTCAAAATACAGCTGATAACTGCGCCGTATTAACTCTTGCATAGTACCGTACGAAAAATGCCGACCATCTTATCAAAGGCAATTAATTAAATTATTCTGAATCCCATTATTTATATAATAACATTCAAGCCACAAAAAAACGATTAAACTAAGTTTAAATAATTTCTAATAAATTTTCAAATTAAAAATGTATTTAAAACTTGTATGCAGATATGTGAACCTCCTACATAATTTATTTACTCTCTTAAACGGAAAAAGGGAGCGTTTAGAAGAGTATTATATGTTGTTTTTGCTTTATTATTAACTGACAGCTGTTCTGTTGACAATTGAGAACAATGTAAATTTTCTCTAGTGGGTTGTAAATAAATAAGTTCTTGTTTATTAATCAATATAATAGTGGCACATTAGCATATACTCAGGTAGTGGTTCCATAAGCAAATTATGGATTTCGACAGCCCGGACGTTGAGAAAGATTTTCCTGGTTTATATGCTTCTGAAGGTGGGGAGGGAAAATCTAAAAAGAGCAAAGAAGATAGCGATTGTAAGTGTATATGCACATTTTAAATAATATATTAGAATTATGTACATAAATAAATAATTAACATATCTGCAGATAGTGAGGGTGAACACGATAAAGTAAGTAAAAAAGATCTATTAATTGGTAGGCGAAAAGATAAAAAGGAAAAAGGCAAAGATCGTGGGTATGCAGCTTTAGAAGGTGAAAGCTCTCCAGAGGAGGAGTTAGAAGCGAAGTAAGTTAATGTCCTTTCAAGTAAATTCTATTCATAATCATTGAATATTTAATTAGAAGTCCCTCGAAGTCAAAAAAGTTGAAAACATTTAAATTCAGTTCGTCCAAAAGCAAGGAAAAACGCGAAAAGTCGCGTGATAAAGACAAGTCTGAGAGGGACTTACGGGAGGAGGAAAAACCAAAGGAAAAAGAGAAGACTGAAAAAGAAAAAGAGGTAAAAAAAAAAGATAAAGAACGCAAAGAAAAGGAAAAGAAGGAAAAAATCAAGGATAAGGATAAAGAAAAGGAAAAAAAGGAAAAGAAAGTTAAACAAGCTGGTAACGCTTCCGAAGAAGTGTTAGAATTGGGCGATGTTCAGCCTGTTTTTGGTGTATCAATAAGTCTAGCTACTGAAAGAAGTCGTTGCCATGATGGTGTTGATTTGCCGCTTGTTGTACGCGATTGTATTGATTACCTCGAGGAGCACGCATTGAAAAATGATCAAATATATAAGGTAGAACCGTTGAAGACACGCATACAACACTTTAGACGACTATATAATAACAGAGAAAGGCAAGCAGATACTGATGAGCTCGATATAGCAACAGCATGCGCTTTATTGAAGTTATTCTTACGGTAACAAAAGGTGAATATTGTCAAAACTAGATGTATTATAATATGCTCATACTTTTAGAGAACTGCCGGAACCGGTTTTAACCACAGACTTAATATCTCATTTTGAGGATACATCATCAATTAACTCGCAGAATAAACAACAAGATGAGCTTAAAAAATTACTTGAACTACTACCCAGTTGCAACAGAACTCTACTCACTTGGATAATATTACATTTTGATTCGGTAATTCAACATGGCAAGCACAATAAATTAACGATTGAATCGTTGGCGATGCTGTTAAGTCCGCCTATGCAGATGTCGCATCGTTTATTAGTTACATTTTTATCTCACAGTGGAATTTTGTTTACAAATGTATCCCTTATCAAGTAAGTAAATCAGATGTGAGTATTCTTCAACACATTGATGATAAGATAATCTATGTGTAACATAATATAGTCTTTAATTAGAATTCTTTGTCTTAAATAATGTTGTCAAGATGCAAGCCTAATGGCTTTTATAGATTTGTTAAATTATTTATTAAGTACGAAGTGCGACAGTCGATATGTTTTGCTAGATAAAATGTTTTTTTTTTTTGTTTTACAGATATGTGCCACCAATAACCCCATCAAGCCCGAAACTTCCAGAGACTGCGGAAGATATTCAAATAGAGCTATGTAAACAAGAAAGCTTACTTACACAGATTCATGCCGAAATGAATGCTGGATTTGTTTCCAAAAAACGAGAAGAACAATTGTGGGAAGTGCAGCGAATTATCACGCAGCTTAAGCGTAAGTTGCGTAGTTTTGAGAAGCGACATGAGAAGTCAATTGAGGAATCACAAATAGCCGCAACAAATGCATTACAAAATATTAGCGACACCACTGATTCTAGTACCATAATGCAACCGGGGCAAAATATTTTAAAGGAAACCGATAATAGCTTGGCGAACCAAAACATGAACTGTACCCACACTGAAGAACAATTTTCAAATGTAGTCAATATTGAATCGCCTGAAATAACAAAGGAAAAATCTTCCACAACGCTTCCGGTCAAAACACTAGTTGTGCAGGAAGAGCCAGAAAAGGTTCCAGAATCGGAACAATCATCGGTCAACGTAGATGATTCACATCCTGATGGAATTTACATTGATGAAGAATTGTCGTTCCTAATGGTGCCTAAAACTCATCCAGATTATTCTCAACTGATTCGTCTGCAATTAGAAAATCGTGAATTACTTCTTTGGAAGGCACAATTGCAAGCTCGTATAACTGCCGAACGTGCCGAAGTCCTGCGGCTTAAGCAGCAATATCAGCAGCAGCTTGCTGCAGCAGGCGCCAGTAGGAGTGATATTCCTAGTACAGCTTCTGTCATTTCAGATGATGTTATTGGAAGCGATGATGATTATGAAAAAATAATAGAGCATTATATACGAGAAAATACCTTATTGGAACAAAAAAAAGAAATACTTGCAAAAGAGCTGTTTGATGAACGGCGCGAATGCATCACTATGCAGGTTGAGTTGGAATTACAAAATTTTTAAACAAACGATCTATTAAGTATATTTACATACACACAAACACACATGTTAAATTTTTATTATATACCTAAATTACGCACTCATCTTTATTGTAAAATATTTACTTCCTTTATCTTTAGCAATTTTATCGTCATACAGTATATCCATTGAATTAGAACTTAGCAAATATGTAATTATCAAACTACATATATAAGAGCTTTATTGAGATTATAAATATACTGTTATAAAAACAATAAAATTAATCGAATGTTAAAAAAAAAATTTCAATTGTTTGATATACATATATGGTACACAATTTACCTTCTGTGGTTGATAATGGCTTATAAGCCACCAGATCAAAATTAGGCAATAACTAGGAAAATATAGTTTAAAAAACTAAAAAACCCGCTTTTAAAGCAGTTCAAACTAAAAAGTGAAAAATAATTTCAATATTACTGTAAGTTTATATATAATATTATACATATATGTATATAATTTTTATTAGCCAGGTTTTACATACATGGATTAGATTTTGATTATTTTTTATAAATTCAATATATTTACCAAAAAACTTATGTATATAAAGAGAGAATGTTAATTCATTCCATTACTCCAGAAGAATTGCATGTAAATATTTTCAATATTATATTTATATATTTGTAATATTAAAATGCCGCCAACTTCAAGGGCCCTGAATATATAGGAAATATGGAAACGTCAAAAGTCTATATAGTACATAGTTCTTGATTGCGCAGTCGCCGGCATCTCTGCTGCGTATGTCAAATGTACCTTTCGTTTGTTCATATGGTGTACAACGTGCTGCTGTCATATGAGATGTTGTTGTTATAGAGGCTTAGTCGACTTCGCTGCTTTCATACTTGCAAATTTATTTTAGAAGGCAGAAAAGTTTCCACAAACGTGAGTGTTTGTGCATAATCAGCAGCCAGCGAAGCAGGAAAAGATTGTTACCGAATTTTTTAACTTTGTAAGACATATCAAAATGTTGAAGCAAGTAACCAAACAATTGGCCATCCAATCCGTAAGGGGATTTGCCACCACAAAGCAAGTAAGTGCTAATAATTTATTTAATGCAATAGACAGAATTGTCAAGTACTTGCTGTTTACGTAATCGACAAACGTAATATGTACATTCATATGTATATTTATATGACATATTGCATTTTAACTATACTTGTATTATAATTTACTCGTAAACTAATAATATGAGCACATCTACATATGTACAAGTCTAGCAATGTATAATATTGTAATAATAAAATAACTGAATTTATTTTATAGAACAACTTCAAGGTCACCGTATGCGGCGCCTCAGGTGGCATTGGCCAGCCACTTTCGCTGTTGTTAAAGAACAATCCTTTGGTCTCCAATTTGGCACTGTATGATATTGTACATACACCTGGAGTGGCTGCCGATTTGTCACATATTGACACCCAAAGCACCACAGAAGGCCACATGGGCGCAGAGCAGTTGGGCAAAGCGTTGAAAAGTAAGTTTATTACAGATTCAATTTAACGAGAGCGACTGAGTACGGTTAATTCATGTAAAACAGGGCCCATTTTTATATATTTTTTTAATAAAACACTTAACATATAATACCCTATGACATTTAAAGAATATTCTGTTAAATTTTCATGGAAAAATATTAAAAAGATACTGCGTGACAACAAATACTCTGGAGCATCTCGGATAAAAGTTGAATTGCGGTGCCCTGAATCATCTTATATCAAAAATTCAAAATTATATCGTTAGTAATCGCTTGTAACGCTGGGCCTTTTTTGAGTTTTAAATTTTTTACTTTTTGGAAAAATCCAATTTTTTGCGAAAATGTTAATATAAAATGAAAAATATAGAGAAATTTGAAAAAAATCTCTCCAGTGTAACCTCGTAAATTATGTATAAAAATAGTGTTTTCAGTAGTAGCAGAGAATATATTATATATAATTATAAAAAAATACATTCTCTGGTAGTAGTGCAGTAATTTTGAAGTTATGAGGGGTACCGACCAACTTTGAAAACATGAGTAGTGGGTAAACAGAACACGAAAATATATATAATATTCTTTATTGAGGTTAATTTTCATATATACATATATATGTATATATGGACACTTATACACACATACATACATATATATACGAATTTTGATAAGATAGGCAAAATGTAATTTAAAATACTGCTGTTTCTCAGTATCATGTGTTACTGTATTTCATAGCCGCAGTATAATAATTTTCGTTTACTTATTATCCTTTTAAGATGCTGATGTTGTCGTTATACCTGCTGGTGTTCCACGCAAGCCCGGCATGACACGTGATGATCTTTTCAATGTTAACGCCGGCATCATCCGCGATATTGCCAACGAAATTTCTAAAAGCTGCCCAAAGGCACTAGTGGCCATCATCACCAACCCTGTTAATACCTGCGTTCCAATCGCTGCTGAGATTCTGAAAAAGGTTATATATCTACATATGTATTAATAAATTTTATAAAAACTATTTGATATTTTTAGTTTAATATTTGCATAACAACATTTGCAAACGAAAAATGCTATTGGTAGCAAAAGATGACAATTGATTTTCTCATTTCATATTATTCGAATAAATTTACGTACATACTATGTGTATCAAATACTCTGAACCATTTATATGCAATAGTTGTTATGCAATGAAATATTGATAATCCAGCACAATCATAAATATACTAATACGAGTCGTATAATTGCAGGCCGGCGTATATGATCCTAAACGTTTATTCGGCGTCTCTACTTTGGATGTAGTGCGTGCACGTGCCTTCATCGGTGCCGCTTTGGGTGTTGACCCACAGCAAGTAGATATTCCAGTTATCGGTGGACATTCCGGTGTTACCATTCTTCCTATCATTTCGCAATGCCAACCCGCTTTTAAGGGAGATCAGGCAACTATTGAGAAATTGACTGTACGCATTCAGGAGGCCGGTACTGAAGTTGTAAAAGCCAAAGCTGGCGCCGGTTCGGCAACACTTTCCATGGCATACGCTGGAGCGCGGTTCGCTGGCTCCTTGCTGAAAGGCTTGAATGGCGAGAAGGGCGTTGTAGAGTGCTCATACGTGCAATCTGATATTACTGAATCGACATTCTTCTCCACTCCATTGATATTGGGAAAGAATGGTCTAGAAGAGAATTTGGGTCTACCCAAATTGAATGATTTCGAAAAGAAGTTGTTGGCAGCTGCATTGCCTGAGCTGAAGAAGAACATTCAAAAGGGTATTGATTTCGCCAATGCTTAAACGAAATCTCTCCCCAGCACTTAGTTTTTCGTACACATATGAATATTCTGCCACATACATCATCCCCGAAAGAAAAACTGATGGCATAAACATATTCGATGTATTATGTAACATTTTATTAAAAACATACTTAAGTTCAATGGTCTCTATAAAATATCTAAAAATAAATAGAAAACAATTGGAAATAAAAAGAAAATATTTAAATAGAAACTATATATTTAATATCTACTAGATATGGTAATATTTAATAAAAGGGAAAACTACAATGACTTTTTTTAAACGCTTTTATTAGCTTCACCTGCATGTTTGTATGTGTGTATCTATGTATGTTTGTGTGCCTGTACATTTTTTTTAAATGGTACTGGAACCAGAGAACGTAAAGGAACGAGAAGGTGCAGGTTCGACAGCGAACATTGTAAAATTTCAATTCACCTCATGATGGGATGCTTTGTGTCAATTTAAACCAAACCAAAAGCGACAATATAAAATATATTGCATATACATATATGTATGTGTACAAATAATTGGTGTACACCAAATTTTTTTCAAAACAGAAATAGCATTGGTCATAATAAGAGGTGTAAGTTTTTTTTTTCGAAATAAAAACAAAAAATTCTTTATTCGGTCCATGGGTTTTATATTCTCCTTGGTTTTTCACAAGTTTTAATTAATTAATTTTTGCCCGGTTTCCAATGGAGTAGCATTCCAAATATGGTGGCATAACGTTTTGCAAAATGTGTCGGTACACAAAGGCGGTCATTGTGTCCTTTATCCAAACAAGGTCCCTTTTTGGCCAGTGTTTCTTGGACGACCACGAGTTTTAGAGCCTTAGTTACAAAGTTTTTCGACCGCCGGTTTATTTACAATGAATCTGTACGTTTTTCCTTCATCACGCAATTTTTTTCCAATCGACGCTCTACATCGATGCTGTGCCTTTTGCGACCGATTCTAAATAATTTCTTCTTTTCAGTTTATGGTGTTTAAAGGAATATAATAATTATAAAATATCTTTTGTGTTACCCAAAAAACTCCTAAAAGGTATATCACCAGATCCTCATCGATCGAATTGTTACTTATTAATGCGGTTAATATAAATTCTAGAAACTTCGCTGGGTTCGCTAAAGATGTGTCTAAAGAGATATTTCAATCTCAGTCTGGCAAAAGTTATGGTCCGATTTTGACCATTTTTAGTTTAGAAGGTGTGACTCCTTGAAAGCACTACTTTTACATGATTTTATTCCGATATCTTCGTTGTTACTTGATTTATATATTGCAATGAGAAAGAATCTGATGGAATTTATAATTTTGTTGTATGAATATATAATATATACATTTTCATATGCTGTGAAAATGGGCAAAATCAGATAATAACCACGCCCACTCCCCCTACAGTTATGTTAAAATATACTAAAAGTGCGATAACTGACGAAATAAATGCGCCATAAGCATTAATTTGCAGAAATAAGATGGTAGGGAAGAGCTTTATAGGAGAAGGTTCCAAAATTCCTTTAAAGGGTGTTTTTTAAAGTTTTTTTTTAAACTATAATTTATTAACATAAAAATGGTGTATATTAGAAAAATAAATAACCAGATTTTCTTTTTCCTAACTTACACAGAGAAATATAATAAATGAACACTTCGAAAAGTTATTTTAAAAGAGAAGTCATTTATTTGTTGTTTTATGAAGTGGAACTGATCTTAATTACTCAAAAATCTGATATTTAGTCATGATCAAAAGCACACCACTTATCCGACTTATTTGTATTCAAAATTATTACAATATATTTACGCATTTTAAAAATTTACAATCCGATAGAAACTCAACAACAGCAATAACAAAACGAATGGGAACTCTGAATTCCGATTCTTCATATTATCAGGCGTGCGAGTATATGCAAATAACGCAGCGTTGTAAGCAAATATAAACAGGAAAGACTTTACGACAGTTAGAGCCTGTAAGAACAAGCTACTCATATAATGGCATTACTATTACAGTTCCATAAATAGTTTACGCTGTGGTTGATTCGGAGTGGGTTTTAAACTAAAATGTAAAATGGCTTTTCTCTCTGTGTATGACACACATACACTTGAAGACGCTTTACATGTACTATATACATATACACCAACACAGATGCAATCAATTAAGCTCAGTTAAAATCAATTAAGCATCCCCCATGGAGAGCTTGTTTACCCGCTCACTGCCGGCATGTGGATTTGGTGACGTGAATGCCCGAATTCGGGAAAGTGTAAGTTTTTTTATTGTTTTATTTCACTATTTTTTGTCAGCCACATACGTACATGCAAATACCAACATTTTTCATGCGTATTTATATACACACACATACGTACGTACATTTTTATATTTAAAAGCGTTTCGCTTACTTTTTTTAACAGGCAATGCCTCCGTACGTATTTGTAAGGTATGAAATTGAATCACATTTTTCAACAAATACAAATCTTTTACAACAACGACATCTTGAGGTTTCAAAATAACTATAAGAATTTGTAAGCCTGATATATCGATTTTTGAACTGTTTACCTATACCATAAGGTCTAGAAAAAGGAAATCTATTATTTTGGCATTAAATTGAAGTTTTTATTTAATATAGTTAAAAATATCTGATTTAAGTGAACTGCACTGTTTTTTCCGATAGCTTTTTGGCATTTTGAAGCTAATTTCATAATACCACTTTTATAAAAACCCTCGTCCCTATTGGCAAATAACTGGGACAGTCGATTTTCATAAGATTCTCTTGAGTTGAATTTTCACCAGCAAAATCATTCACCATAGACAGGAACAGGTAGTAATCGCTTAATGTTAGGCCCAAATTATAATGTGGATGCATAAAAACATTGCAACAAAGCTTATTGAGCATCTGGCGAGTCATTATCGATGTGGCGTAGTCCTGATGGAATTCCTTTCCTATTGGTCGAAGCTGGCTACTTCTGGGCGATTGCTTATTTTAGACGGTCCAATTATTGAGAGTACAGTTTCGAATTAAGAGTTTGACAATGGGGGAGGAGCTAATAGTAGATAATTCCCTGCCAATCCCCCCAAATATGTAGCAAACTCTTCCTGGCTTGGCCACCGTTTGCGCCGATGAAAAAGCGAATAAAAAGACATTTGAAGTTCAAGCGACAAATGTCACCAGTCATTTGAGTAATGGGTAGCTCAACTGGCAGTAGTTTAGGCTACGCAGTCTGACCGGAGACTTTCCGGTACCACGGGGAGCAGAAAGTCCTTGGACTTCTGTTCAATCTGCTCATTGGGTTCGGCCCTTTGGGGAGTATCATGGTGGCTGTGGTTTAAACCTAAATGCTGGAAGAACTGAATTTTCAGTTCGAAAAAAGAAGTTGCACAAGCAACTGGGTGCCGTACCCGAAAACGGAAGAGGTTTTAGGTCGGCCTCGAATCACACCAAGATGGTAGTGTGGACCCAGACACACTGCCACTGGTATCCAAATAAATACTTGCAAAAAGCTCGTATTGTTTGGGGCGCTTATCAACGCATTGTATTGATACGTTGTGTTTTGGAACACCGTGAGGTAAGGCCGTCGCCGGCAGGTACTCACGTAAATCTACAACGAAAGTTGTCGCTTCGTGTTTGGTCAAAAATTCAGTCACAATCATGCTAGAATGTGAAGGCGCATTCAGTTCTTTTAGTACTATTCTGGCATTGAGTCGACCCATAAAAGGCCATATAGCCATATGAATGCCAATACATTGTAAAAATATTTAAGTAGGCAAAGTTTTGACTTAAAACACAATCGGTTTTAACCGGTGGCTAGCGAAAATCATGCGAAAGCTTGGCTTAAGATTTAAGCATTATTAAAGTGTTTACTAATATTTTATTTGCCAATTGCAAATTCGTGGAATTTATCCCCTATACACATTTGTACAATATATTGCAAACAAATAATGGAAAAAGGGTTTAAAACTGTTTACTTGTATGTACACAAACATGTAGAAATTAGAAACGTTTTAACATGCCATAACTTTGAGCAATATAAAACAACACTCCTCCAGCCCATTAGCCCAATAAAAGTATAACAGCTTAGTCATTTCGAATGCGATCACCTAAGGGTTGCACACTTAATGCCCCCGCGATTTGACAGCCCACCAGAAGACATATACACACACTCAACTTGTTTAGAAATTTAAACCCAAAAACATATTGTACGGGTTATTTTCGTCGAGCATATCGGTTAATTCGATTTGAAATGTTGTTTCACATGAAATTGGAAATCAATAATAAGGGTGAAATTGTCATCACTGCGTTACTGATCTCCAGAAATCACCAACACACATTAGGACGCTATTGTTTGAACAGAAAAAACAACACCAAGCGACATAAACACAATATCTGCCGCTATTAAAGAAATAATAGCAAACCCTTTAAACGAATTCTCCCAAGACCAATCGGCAAATATGTAATCGTAATATCCTTTAGTACACGCATACATATATATGTATATATATGGTACTTGTAGAGCAATCAACATCTAGGAAATTTCATACTTCTCTCAACTAACAAATTGGTGCCCAAAGCATGTTTTCAGGGACTTCTCGGTGATCAATTGCAAACTTCGAGCATATTTTTGTCTTAAGTAAGCTTCTCATAAAATTTATTAGCTGTTCGGAGTCGGTTAAAACCTGTAAGTTTCTTTATGTGTTAGATCGCATCAAGGCAGATAAATAAAAGAAGCCGAGCTAGGCCGATAATCTAGCAAAAGTTAGTCTTCGTCCATAAATTCTGTTACAAAGTTGTGAATGCATACAATGAGGACAAAATCGCTGAAAAAAGTGTCGTTACTTTTTATTGTAATTTGTATGCAGTGTCTACTCATATATAATAACACTTTGAAACAGTAATTTTGTTTTATGAAGTTTCTTACCCGATTTTGTATGATTTTGCCACGCTGATTCCAAATCTGTAGTCTCTAGCAGCTCTAGTTTTCGAGATATAAATATATTACATTTTTAGCCAAAAATACTACAATTTTAGAATAAAAAAATATATTGCTCTTACTTAACATGAAAAAAACTTTTTTTTATATGCTTTTCTTGGATGAGTCGAAACATCAGTCTTTTTTGAATGCTCCAGCAGTAATCAGCCAACATATTTGCATTTCAGCGACCCTGGTATCGCCTAA